CGCTCATACACCCCTCTACATGAATATAAGTGACATGGAGACGAATCATAGCAACTCGTTTCCCATACTAGAAGTCGCCAAGCGCGAGCCCGCCATACCCATCACTCCTCAGTCAAAGATGAAGACCGAGCCCGACTTCTATATCTCTTTCTCCACTCCAGCAGAGTCCTCCTGTCTCGAAACCCCTTTCTCAATGAACTCACCCACGTCTCCAAACAGTCTCAACTTCCCTATCCCTGGTATTGTTAGTTTCAACAGTTCCATGAGCAGCACGGCAAGTCTTAACAACCGTATGCCGAAAACTTCATTCTTTGGTCCGCCTCTTCACGAACAAACTGGATATAAGGAGTCCTTCGGAGCCGCGTATCGAGATGAGCAGGGATATTGTTTTGATCCCTGGGCCCAAAGCATCAGTGGATATGATACCACCAGTATTCAGGACAGGCTGCACAGGGTATCCAATAGTCCGGACTGCAGTCCAACAATATAAGGGTTTGATTTCTAGAAGCAGTTAGAAATTTTGAAAACAGTTCAATTTCGATAAATTTCGATAAATTTCAATAAATTTTAAATGATTTGAATGTGTTAATTGATTCGGGGATTTGATAATCTTCATTTTGAGACTGTAGTCTGGAATATTGGGCACCCTGGGTCACGGGCATGGCATTTTGTTCAAGAGGAAAAAAAAAACTACGATATTGGTTCTTGTGCGTTCTTCTTGAAGTAGAGTTTCACTGAAATTTGGGAAGTAGGGGGTCAGAATAACTTGCTTAGCTTCACTGTGTACTATTTGCTTGTCGATTTGAATCAAATTCTTTCCTTTTAGGGTTTTGATACTTTAAGCAAATGGACCATTTTCCTCTGACGAATACTCCTGACCGCGGATAAAGCCTAGAATTTGAAGATAATACATGTTTGGCTAATAATGCTGTCCCAAAAGTCCAACATCTCCCTCTTCACAGGTTTGTCAACAACGTGACAAATTTAAAAAAAGTACAAAGTTCTCAAACGATACATCCCAGGCCTGTATCATTCAATATTGCAGAGATGAATTCAAGTCATCTTGCTTCACTAATCATGCAATACGTCATGTTATTATTGCTTTCATCATCTTCCACTTCTTCCTTCACCTTTACATATGGTCCATCTAGTTCTTCATAACTGCAGATGGGCTTGTAACTTCTCAAATTTTTGAGACTGGCCGGAAAACAGTGGCTGACCGTCTCTGTGTCAATCTTGACGAGACCTCTGGGACCAAACTCATTTCGGCGGCGGGTTCCAAGTTGCCGAGAATCAAGTTTTTGTAGAGAATTCGGGCTCGCCGCACATCCATTGAGTCTCATTTTAGCAAGATTGTCTCTATATATTGGCCTTGCTGTTCTTGAGGGAGCATAATAACGGCTGTCGGCCTGAGATGTCGGTGCAATTGTAGCCTTGCTTCCATCAAGCGAGTGCTTTGTTGGTATACGGTCGATCATCCTAGAATTGTGTTCTAACTTCAATACAGAATGGCTCTTCATGTGCTCCAAATCAGTGAAGCATGACTGTGAACTACCGCTTCCCGATTGTTTAGCATTTGTGACGCCAGAATTAGGCTGTGATTGTTCTCTTTCATTTCGTGTAACGAGACTCTTCACCCATTGATAATCTTCTCCCTCATCCTTAACTTCCGGTGCACCCGCTGACTTTTGTATGGGACGCCCGCTGCTCTTTCCAATATAAGAGAAGAAATACTTTGGATGGAAAGAGGCATTCAAATGCCCAGACCTGCTCCCCCCGTAAGATTGTATGTAATGTGCCGACATGCAGATATACTCCTCGTGACCAAATTGCTTAGATATACGTTCCCATGAGTAACCGAGATGACGCGCCCTACCGAGTCTCCTCCTGTCTGACTCAGTCCACATTATACGACGAGATTCATTCTCGTCTTCGTCGATTCCGTTCTTCTCTAAGAAATTCTTATATGCCGCGGAAGCCGTCCTCGCATTGGTACCAAATGCCTGGCCAATTCTTCCCCATGTCCATAAGAGACTCGATTTGCGCATCTTAAGCATATGATGCATCATTTCATCAACTCGAGATAGAGTCTGATGACGATGACCAGAAAGCTTTTCGGCCCTTCGAAACAGTGACCCCGAACTATGGGGATCGGCCCAGAATTTCTTCTCGTATCTGGTGAGAAACTGAGCCCATGATTCCGAGACTTCTTCATTTCGCCATTCTCTGAAATTGGAAAGGTACGCATCCTCCTGAGAAGAAAACTTTCGTCTCCTGCCACGGGAAGTTGGCATTCTGGATGTGATGGAGCCTCAGCAACGAGTAATATATGGATTATCTTATCAGTAAAATCGTCGCTGCGAGTGATGTATTTCTTCCGCTAGGGTCTAATCATTAAGATGAGAATTTCTAAAAGCCATCCGGTCTGTTAGCCATGAATGTTGATGTCTCTTCGATTTGTCAAGAAGGTTCATGCTTCATAAGGCGCTCACCAATACTTTTGGGTCAGCGCCAACAGTATACTTACAATGACAACGTATGTCTTCCATAAACAGTATTTGAATGGTATTTTATGGTAGATGCGTATCGATAACTGTGCTATTGATGGTTTCCAACAAGAAAAGATGTCCACACAAGTCCACAAAAGTAGAATTATGTTGCATTGAATAACTGAAGTATTATGTATCCCAAGAAGGATAAGGAACAGGAGGATTTAGCATATGATCGATCACGTTGATATTCTTGAAGAAGGAGCGCAGACATATTCGGAATAACCTGCTCGAAGTGTATCCTCAAATATGGCAGGAAGAGGGGGTTCGATAGATACTTGCACAGTTCCATTTATGCCTACTATATTGGGAAATGAAACCATGAAATTTGGAAGGCCGCTGTGAATGGTGATAATCTCGAGGTTTTTCGTGTCCACTACGAAAGCTCTTCTACTTTCCAGTCGTGATCTCGGAGAAAAATGCGATTGGATACTAGGCAATGCATTGTTTGACATACGAATGAAAGATCTCTGAATAACTTTGGTGGACGTTGGTCACCTAAACAATTTCCAGTGCCTTTTGACTACAATACAGATTGCTTCACAGAATTCCATACCTACTGGTATCATCAGAATGCAGACTTTCTTTAACGCAGAGATCTAAATAGCATAAGATGACCTCCTTCCCATGCAGCATTATGTGCCAAACCTCCGAACGCCAGAGAGGCTACCCGCCTTTAAACGCCACCATCATTATGATATATCCGCTTCTATTCCACTACTTGTTGGCATCTTTTCCATCCAGCCTCCGACCTATACTGTCGCTCTTGGCTTGAGGCTCTGGAGCTGGCTCGCTTTTGGCCTCCACCTTCTTGCCGGTCTTCAGTGATTGTCCTTGCCCCGAGAAATGGGGCTGCTTTGCATCTGCATTCTCTTTGTCCTTATCAGCTTGGGTTTTGACTGGTTTGACTTCGTAACCGAAGAAAAGTTTGTTGGGTGGTAATCGAAGAGGTTGAGGACCATTCGTTCTTCGAACCGATACAGCAGGAGTGTTCGTGCTAGCTCCAGCAACGGGAGTTGACGCAGTAGGTGTGGGGGTCTTTGTGCCCTTCTTGGCGCTCAGTTTGTGACCTCCAGATACAAAGTTGGATGAGGCCGCTTTTGCGCCTTGTGCGACAGAATTAGACGTTGGTGCAATGGCATCGTAGTTGATGGCCTGTGCCATGGTTCCTTGACTGTGAAGCATGCCACCTGCAGGTAAACCGCCGATGGCACTTCTGGGTGTGCTGGTTCCGCTACCATTACCCCTGACCGGAGTTGGCTCGACATAGCCCAACGGAGCTGCGAAGTCGACCTCAACATCCGTTTCGAGCATACTAACCCCCATTTTGTCAGTAACTGGCTTGACCTCCAACACCGCAATATCGTAGATAGTATCATTATAGTGGAAGCTAAAGATATCGCCTTTAGTGACCGTAGAAAAGTCACGAAACGCTTTTTCAAGTACGGCCTTTGGGTTGGAGATGTCGAGGAAATTGACGGATTGAGGTTGGAGTTTGATAAGTGAGGCAGGGGGAAGATCGGTCGATTTGATCTGGAAGAGATCCCCAGTTTCAAGTCCAAGGGTTTGCATCATCTGGAGTTAGGTGGTTAGATTAATAAAACACTTTTCGATGAGACAGAAAGGGTGCGTACCCAGTGTGGAAGATAAACCTTTCCTTCATCCGCAATAAACTCCAGTACACCAGCATGTGTTAATTTTGGTCCATCGGGATGTCGACTGTTGATGAGCTCGAAAAGCATAGGGTACGTAATGTGTAATCGAGTAAGCTTTTCCAGAGCAGATGGGGGCATAATAATCTTCCCTCCATAATTAAGGTTGTCTCGTTCAGGACCGGGTATCATGATCGTTGGATAACATCGGTAGTATTCATCGAAACGTTTGGGAGGCCCTCGCATTCCGCGCTGCTGCAACATTTGATACATGGCAGCTGGGTCATCTCCTTCATAAAAGCCCGAGTATGACTATTAATTCCATCAGTATGCGAAGGGACATATTGTCTGCGGATCATTTCACATACCATTTTCTTTGGATAAGTAAAATCTGTATCTTATGGTACGATGGGCAAAATCTGTATCGTAAAAAAACGAAAGCCTTGAAAATGTTGGATGAGAAGTGAAGTTCAGATATTCTTGTAAAATTTATTCGTAATTAAATTGTTTGTATGGCCTTTGTAAGTAGATGTCGTTCTTGGAGTGTGTTGGTGTAGTATGAAAGTTTATAGTAAGTTGATAAGCTGTAGTAGCTCAAAGGCTGTCAAGAGATGACGCAGGAACCAGCTCTCTCTCTCGGTTGCTTTAAATGGCGGGGGACTCTTAACTCCGAAACCTTAAAGCTTCAAATGTTTCCCGATCCTTGCAAAGAAAGTACTCAGTATTCACTTTATATTATTCATATTTCAAAGTCTCGAAGCTTCTCAATTCAAAGGGATAGCAAAGTTATCAACAAAATATGTCTTCCAGATACGCAGCTGCGCGACCGAAACGTGCTGGTGAAGAATTTGCTCGTTCACATCGGAATGAAGATGAGGATGGCCCTTCAAAGAAACCAAAATTCGATCTCAGAAACCCATCCGCTTTGGTAGCTGACGAACCGGAGGAAGATGCAGTTCTGGATGCAGATGTTATCGGAAGCCGAGGAACTGGTACCAAAAGAGGAGCGGTTAATATCGATGGTTACGATTCGGATTCTGATAATGAGGGTTTCGACGCGCGTGCAGACGAAAGAGCCAAAGGAAAGAAGGGCGAGGTAAACCTGGCAGAAGCGCTAGATGGATATAGCAAGGAGAAACCTGGTGCGACAAATGGGAAGACGGATATGGAGGAAGATGCGGACATGTTTGCAGACTTGGAGGATGAATTTGCGGACGGCGATGAGGACGAGAGTGAACTGAAGGCTCGCAAAAAAGGGAAAGAAGTACGATTCTTGAAGGAAGATGAGATCGAAGGTCAAGTCTTAGGCAGCAAGAGTGGAGGTCATGTATCTGGGAACTTTGCATTGGACCCAAAAGGAAAGTTATCAACGCATGCGATGGACGACCAAGAGAGCAGCGATGACGAAGAAGATGCCGTGTTGGCCGCGCAAGAAGAAGATGTGGACGAGGAGGTTGGCGCCGGCGGATTGAAGAGGAATGCCCCTAAGGTCGATGCCTTCAATATGAAGGCTGAACAGGAAGAAGGCAAATTTGATGCGAACGGCAATTTTGTGCGAAATGCAGCGGATCGAGACGCAGTGCACGACACTTGGCTGGAAGGAATCAGTAAGAAGGATATGAAGAAAGCCGCAGAAGCACACGAGAAAAGGGAGGAGGAACGGCGGCAAAAAAGGCTCGAGGATGATGCCATGTTACTCTCAGATATCTTACGAACATTAATATTACGACTGGATAAAGCCGAGACAGTTCTCGAGGCGCTCGCAAGGCTTGGAAAGAGCCAGGTAAAGACGAAGAAAATACCGAAATGGAAATTAAAGAAGCAAACCCAAAAGGATGATTCTATGGATGTGGATGCTGAGAAGATTGAAGACCCAGAACAGATCAGGATACGAGATGCCATAAATGCTATTACAGGCGCTGCTGATCAATTGCTCATAAGAGGTCAAACGGACGTTTATGAGCAGGAGAGAGAGATGCTTATACGACAATATCGGAGAGAGACGGGCGAAGACTGGGAAGAGCCACCTGAAGAAGTGGCTGTGAACGAAGAGAATGGCCCCGCGCCCACCAAAATGTGGGAATATAGATGGACAGATGGTCGGGACGGGGCTGCCAAACAAGGTCCTTTTGATGGCCCGACTATGGTAGCATGGCAAGATGCGGGCTACTTTGGAGAGGGAGTCGAGTTTAAACGAGTAGGGCAGGAGGGTAATTGGAGTAGAGTTGCGGATTTTGTATGATTATGCCATGATACCCGGGATACAAAGAATTAATGGGCGTAATTAGTTTGTAGTTACATGTTAAAGTTGGCTTATTTTGCCGCGATAGTGCAAAGACAAGTACATCGTTCTCAATTGATCACATGAGCTATGACATCTCCAAGTCATTCACATTTCATAGGATTAGTGTATTGCACTATATCTCATTAAGGGAAGTTTGCCCATTCCATTACATCTCCGTAATTGCGCCCACTTTTAGTCAGCCCTAATATACAACATAAAGTTCTACTATTTGCTTTGCTTGCCACAGCCAATAGGAACGACCAACGCCAAACGATCACATCTAAAACCCTTTGAGCCCTTCGTCATTCATGAAAGTTCCATTGCATCGCCATGACCATTGGTCACTGACAAATTCACACCTCCTTCCTCCCCAATGAGACGTTTTTCAAAGTCTGTAACAAATTTTACGCTACGTGCAGAGTCGAAGAAGAGAGTGAAGCTCCGTTGTACATCTTCGATACCAATTTGCTTGGCCTTTCGCTTGGCACAGATAAGTTGTGATGTGGTAATGAGGTTGCTGGCATATCTGATACCAGTTTCTTGCCCAATCTTAGTAAGTAAAGCTAGTGCATCGGGGGAAACATCGACTTCCTCCTCTTGTGCACGAATGGAGAGTATCTGCTGAATCTCTTCCTTGGCGTATGGATGAGTGCTAACAATGACGACCCGATCTAAGAAATCAAGTGGTAATCCATGGGGACTTTTATAATTCGTGCCTCGAATTCTAGAGTTTCCGCGGTTGCTTGCCATTATGACGATAGGTGCGAGCTCATCTTCCAACGCGCGATTAATATAAGAAAAGCATTCGATATCCAGCATGTGGACTTCATCGATGAAAAGAACGCCAGGCACAATTTCGGCTTTTCCTTCTTCTTTCCATTCTGCAACCTTCGTGTTGATCTGATCGCGAACCTCGCTTCTGATTTCTCCAGTATCTCCTGAAAAGAGAGCCAAGAAACCTTGCGTTCTCGAATTGATGACATCGATCTCGTGTAAACTCACAGTGTGGACAACCTCTTTGCGCTTTTGCAGCTCTCCGTCAGGGCACTGCAAGAACTTTGTATCTACACCCATTGCATCGTAATCTCTTGATTTTGCGAATGATCGCCCCAGCTTGGTAATTTTGCCCGAGGATTTGTCAATTGAAATAATATCACCTGCCATCACGCGCTCCTTTGTCATGGAATCGATCATTTTGCTTCCCATGTCGTATATCGTCTCCATGTCGGTGGTTTTGATAGTTAATTTGCCCTGCTTCGTACCGCCCGTTACACTCCTGTCGGTCTGGATCTCAACGACCTCTCCTTCAATCATCTCACTCTCCTCCTTTATGCGCACGCCTATCGATTTTCGGAAGGCTTGAGTAAGGGCTTCGGTTTTTGACATTTCGAGGGAGAATATTTCTGAAGAGGCCAACATGGTAAATGGCACATCCGAGCCTAGAGATTGTGCCATTCCCATTGCTATCGCCGTCTTTCCAGTACTGATAGACACCGGTCAATATAGATTTTCATGACGAACTCTACGATTACATACCTCGGAGGACCCGCAATTAAGACTGCTCGACCTGCTATCTTCCCTTCCTTGACCATTTGTAAAATGACGGCAGCAGCTTTACGCGCCTTTTCCTGACCTACAAGTCCCTGGGAGGATGCGCGGGGTTCAAGACTATCTGGATCAACACCCAAGCCGCGAATATGAGAATGAGCGGCGATCAAATTGAGCCCGCGCAACTCTTTGCTCTCCGAGACGGTTTGAATTGACTAGAATTTTGTAAGTTTTCATACAGAATTGAATTGGAAAGAATTAATCTTACCGCAGCCATGGTGTAGAATTTGCGATTTGAAAGAGGTGAATAGGTAAGGGGAAAAAGAATAGTTGTTGATGTGGAAGGTTATGATGAAATTGGACGAGGCGGAAGAGAGAAGTTAGTTGAGTTGATTAGTTAGTTCGTTCCTCTTTTCTCTTATCCGGTAGATTAAAAAAAAGTTTTGGGGGCAGGTTTAGGTATCTGATGAGTGCCGCGACGCGTTTCTTAAGCGTTGTCAAGCGTGACCAAGCACTGACCGATATTAGATTTAGATATCGATCTCTGATAGATAGCTGTATAAGTCGGACTGGTGTACCTGGTGTACCTATGTAGGCAATAAGGATTTCTAGCTCGAATCTCTGCTACGCAATATATTACGGGAAAAGACTACGAGTATGAAGTAAGTTGGCAGTACTAGGTAGATGGCTACACTACCTGCAGTACTAGAAAAAGACGACGAGTATGAAATAATAAGTGGTAGTACGTTGGTAGTAAGCCTTTAGTAAGCCTTCACGCTGATCCAATGAAAACACAAGGGTGAATATATCCAATTGATGCGAGATTCTAGCAAGGAGACAACCTTAATCACCTAGTGCCGTCGGTAAGTAGGTAGTACTAAGCCATTTCAACTCTTAGCTTGATTTTTAAACATATACTATCCCTGCTAGCGTAGAGATAAATTCCCTATTAAATTTTAATTTATCTAGAAGCGTATTTACTTTGATCAGGTTTAAGAAAGCTCTCATGTTTAATCTCCATCTATCTATTCACCTGTATTCACTTTCTCTCCGTATACCTTTCTTACCTTACCTTACCTTAACCCTTTTACTCAATTCGTCTGGCTGTTTGTTCATTCATAAATACATACCTAGTACTGCCCACGGGTTTTTTCGAAAAGGTCTGCAGTAAGGAGGGACTTTATTTTCATACTAATATCAAACACGCTCTTTCAACCTGCTTCGAAGTAAGAGTAATTTCTAACCACAACCCACAACTGACTTACTTACACTTCACAACCTCCTACAACCTCTCAACATTTCACCATCTTCTCAAAGTCCACGCCGACAAGGGTGATTTTCAACTTCAATTCACAAGTCTCTCAACTCTACAGGGCAAACTTTCTTACCAAGTCATCTCGGAGGGTTTATCAATGCTGGTATTCGGCTTGGCGAACTCACTTTCTTGTTCTTTCAATTCATTCTATGGAAAGTCAGTCTCGCTTTTCAACTTCTTTAATTGAAAATTGATATTGGGCTTTCAAGATTCGATCATCGACAAGCAAGGCAAAGAAGTACTTTCCTGTCGTCGCCAACCATGTCAAGCCGCAAACACTCAGAGGATAAACCTCCTCTACGAGGACCAGCAGGTCCCCATCGTGGTGATAGGCATAGGCCGCCTAAGAATTATGGTACCAGAGACAGGCAAGTTAATGAAGAGGGACATGAGAATCGTAGATTGGATGGAGGTCGCGAGAACAAAGACAGTGGCACCAAGAGACATGGGGCGAGGGCAGATCGAGGGAGTCGCTCTTCTGAGCAGATCAGCTCGATAAACACTCAACTTCCTAAGTCTGATAATTGCTCTCCAACAACAACAACAACAACAATAACAACAAGACCAACAACAGCAACGACTGATATTGAATCAGCATCAAAAGGCAAGTACAATTCATCATTATCTTTTCGAAATAATTTCAAATTAGATTGAATTGAAAGCCACGGAAAGCTCAATCGTTCACACTAGCTCAAATATTGACAAACCCCGTGAGGAGGACACTACTGTTCTGTCGAATAATCCTCCTTAATTCTCTTTGTGAAAGTAGCAATAGTTTGTCTTGTTTTGAGCGGACGGGGTAGGATGAGTCATTAAAAATGTTGTGATTTTCGAACTCGAGTCTTTATTCTGTTCGACAGAATCAAATTATGCAATATAAACTAACAAACTATAGGGATCAATCATCGTGGAGAGGGATATTCGAATTCCACTGTAAATTCCATGCCATCGAGACCAAATAATATTATGGAAAAATCTGTCAACACTCTTACCAACGTTTCTAAACAAGTTCCTGTTACAGAATCATCTCAGTTAGAATCTCTTATTGATGCGTTGATGCAATTTGCCGACCAAGGGGATTCTAGGAGTGTGTTAAATCAAGTACGAAACTCGGCCGAAGAGAGTCTGAAACAGCAAGTTGAGGAAATACAGAAGATGAGTCTCATCATGCAAAGCTTCCCTACGCACATGGATGTACAAAACAAACGCAAAGCTGAGGCAGAAGATGTTCTTACGAGAACCAACGAAGAGCTTGAGAAGGCCAAGAGATTGCAGAAAGAGGCAGCTAAAATTATTGCCTCTCACCTGGTTATCAAAGCCTCGCCTCCTATCGCAGATGACTCGAGGTACCTCCAGGAACGTTGTGGGAAGTTGGAAGAGAAAGTGAAGGACCTTGAAAGAACAATGGCTGCCATGGATCAGAAAGATCAATTCTCCGATATCAACGATCGCTTTCAAGAAAGTCAAGCCGAAAATCGTAAGGTTGTTGCCGAGATCAAAAGAAGTGAGGCACACTTTGCAGAAATGATTGAAACCAGCGAAGCCAAGACAAAACACGAACACCATAATCTGTCTGACCAATTTACAAAGCTTGATCAACGGCATCAAGCTACTCGTAGCGAGCTTGCTTCACTCGGTCCCCGTCTGGATAGCCATGAAAATTCCTTGAAGAAGCATGATGCGCTGATCAACGACTTGGAGGAAAAGATGACAACGCTCCAGCAGGAGACCGACAAACAATCCACTATCTTGAAAGCGAAAATTGATGATGTTGAACTTCTTACAAATAAAGTTACATCCCTCGAAAAGTCATCAGAAATTCACAAGGTTTCCGTACATGATTTCAAGTCGTCTAGCCTGGAAAAAATCAGTCAACTAAAGAACGACATGACAAAGTTTATTGAACTCCAGACTGCTCAAAAGGACGTCGCCGAAAGACTTGGAACTCACGAACAGGAGCTAAACGCCATGAAGGATGCTCATAAGGCCATCCTTAAAAGTCTTGGAACTACTGTGGAGGAATTAAACTCCCTGACGGATAAGGTTGGTCGATTGGAGCAGATTCCTCAAGCTCCGTCCATTGCTATATCCCAGACTCCCTCTAAAATAGCGAGCGGATCAAGCGCAACAATGATCGGGGTGATGCAGACTAGAATTCGTAATGCTCTAGAAGACATTAGGGTTCTGGAGGAAAGAATCGACAAGATCGAAAGCCCTCTTGGATCTCCTAGCCGCGCTATGCCCAGGAAGATGCTAAAGTTAATGAGCAATTGAAAAGCACGATGGAAAATTATGAATATAGGCTGAATGAATTGGAGGACTCTTTCAAAAAAATGGATTCTCTCAGCACGAATAAGCCAGTTACGAGAATCTCGCCATTTTCCACAGCAGCGCAGGATATCACGGATGTCAAGAAAGCTTTTGAACTTTACAAAGAGCAGCGTGAACAAATGGACCAAGTTTGGATTAGACGCGTTGAGGAGCTCGATAACCAAGTAAAATCTATACAACGCAATGATATCACTATCAATGAAAAGATCGCTGAGATCCAGTTTCGTATGGATGTATTCGTGCAAGACCTAAATCGCATTGCTAATCGAGCCACTGAAACGAGCAACGACCAAAACGCGAATACTATAGCCTTAAGGCATTTAAATAGTCGATTCAACAATATATCAACAGATGATCTAGCGAAGAACATGCTACACCAGTTGGAAGTAATTTATCCCGATGTTGGAAATGCCGAAAGAACTTTCTTAGAGTTGAGGAAGCAACATTCCAGCCATACCACCCAACTGGAGAGGTTGAAGAGTCAAGTAGTGGCCCTCCAAGGCCAATCTGCCCGCAAGCAAAGCCCGACAAATGCAGGCAATGGAGCTACCGAGTCTTTACGCCAAGAAGTAGACTCGTTGACTAAAGGTCAAATTAAGCTCGGAGCAACTGCTAAGAAACTTGATGAAGCTACCGCAAGCACTCAAGCTGGGTTGACTACACTCAAACAGTCTTACACAACCCTGGATCTTAAGATTCAAGATCTCAATGGAAAGATTGAGACTCAGCAGAAGAGTTTAACCGACATGAGTGCGGATCTCATTGAAGCAGTCGGAGACCTGCAAGCCGGCCTCGAATATCTTCAAAAGAGTTCCAGCAATGATACCATAGAGGCCGCAGGTGATACTCCTGCGCCTGCTCAGTCTACTCTGCTCCGAGCCCAACAATCTTCAGCACAGGAAGCGGTGATAAATGGCAAGAAAAGGAAAGATGTGACAGGTGCAGAGCTCTCTAGACCCGAGAGTCTGACCAATGGTCACACACGGAGCCCTTTGAGAAAGAAAGCTAAGAGAGCCGAGGGTGGTGAGGATCTTGAGCAATTGAACCAGAGACCCAATAAAAAATGAAATCCAATTTTGCAAATTTACAAAGAACACAAGTCAATCTAACGAAGCCCACGAGGTTTTTTGACGGTGTAGAAATCAGCGCGCTTAGAAATTTTCGCTACTGAATGCGCAAATGACCATGACACGTTCTAGCCTTGGGCCAAGTCCAATTTTGCTTCTCTGTTCTGAAGCGACCTTTGACCCCGGGATAATTATTGCGCGCAGTTGAAAGCGAAGCTAAGGATTAATACTAGACTTTGTTCAGGGTTTAACATGACCGGCTTGCACTTAAAAAAGCGAATTAGGTTTGAGGGATACATATGAATTCATCAAGTTGGTTTTCACTAACGATATAATGAATACGTACGTTATCTATCTAAAATAGTCTTTATTCTCACTTACTTTACTTTGATTTCTGAGTATATACCTAGTAGACTCACTTAGAAAATCTAGAATTAGAGTTATAAAATCATCGTGAGATAAACTTGATAAATTAATAATTAGAATCTTACAACAGTATACTAGATAATACTTATAAAAATTAATATTTATGCGATTATCTTCTTAATCCAATTAACTATCTATTAAGTAGCTTTTTAGCTCTTTATTAGCTCTAGTAGGAACATTAGTAATCAATTACTAATCGAAAAAATTACGCAGTTTCATTGGCTGAGATGCATCAGCCGAGTGGCGATCGAAGAAGGCCCCGCTTTGATAGATAGAGTGCACGTTTGATAGTTCTACGATAAAGAATATCAGACTTCGTATTGACTGATGCTAGTAATGGCGCGAAGGGCATGCAATGATTGGGTATAAGCATTGGTGGTGATACAAGGGCGCAAATATGCACATCGATATTTCTATCACTGAGCGTTTTCTTGACAGAATTTGAAGGGTCAGCACATGCGTGTGTAGTTTGTGTCACACTGTAGGGATGTTGTATTGGTTCTTAACACACACCGCAAATGAGCAGTTAGCCGTTCCACGTTTCGCAAGAAGTAAACTTTTCTCTTAATTTCTCCCTCATACATATTTTCCATGCACCAAACGCCATTAGGGAATCTTCTCAGTCTAAGCAAACAACTCGGCATTATCCAGGGCATCCTTTGGCGCCTGTCTTCCTCCACTCGTTCTGAGTCCCAATTCTCCCTTCTTTGCCAGTCTCTCAATACCCTGTTCAGCCCTCGCATTATATCTTCCTGCCTTCTTCTTTCTGATCTCGCTTCTGACTTGGTTGGGCGACACGAACTCCTTGTTCTCGTAGATGATTGGTCCACCAAAACTTCCCTCTTGAATGACAATGGGTGTCAACACGAATCTTGGTCCAATCTCCACCAAGTTGCATTCCGTCTCGCTGGCTCCCGAGCTCTTCGATTTAGATTTCGTGGAAGTTTCTTCTTCAGCGCCCTTCACTTTCGATGGCTCCGCCTCGCTGATTTGATAGTTTCGAATCCAGATCTTGCCATCTGCCAAAGTGAATCCCATAACATGGTCAATAAAAGGTTTCGATTTTCTTGCACCCTTTGGTACACCGAAGATATGAAGGAAAAGTTCTTTCAGAACGCGGAGATGAGGTTCCTTGTCAAAAGAGGCATCGAAAGAAAGGATGGGTCGGGAGCCTTTGAGACAGTTTCCGGTGAAATGGAGTTCCTCCATGGTGTGTACTAAGAAGTGTTAGAAAGGTAGACTTTTCCCGAAGAGGAGGATATCAAAATGAACATACAATTCTGCATATGCATTTTAACGGTAGGTCCGTTGGGCGCCTTGCTCATCCACAGGTAAAGATCCTTTCCTTTTCTTGCCTCGAAGAAAAATACATTATTGCAATTATATAATTCGGCCAATTCGTTCAATTGATAAAGCTTCGACTTGGTATCGAGTTTCGCATCTTTTTTACCGTGAGGAAGAAGGGACGCAAGGTCATTGAGTAGATGTCGATGTCTAGTTGTGAAGCGTTAGCATTTTTCTTGAGATTCTCTGCAATGGTACAAATTTATTTACCTGTAAGTAATTCCTCTTGAAGACAAGATCAAAACTCTTTGCTTATTTTTCTTAACCCCATTTGCAGGACCGTCTTCTTTGTGACCGGTGGTCTTTGATAATGACTTATAAACAGAAGCCATTGTAAATGTGGTATTGTGTGGTGTATATTAAAAATATATGTTCAATGCTATCGGGCGCAAAAAAGTTCTTGAGATCTCCAAACTTTCTTAAGAATTTCTTGATAGCGTAAGCGCGACCTTTAATCTTAGCGCGACACTCTGTGTACATCCTTGCTAGTATATTTCGGCGATTCGGATAAGATTCAATTGATCATTGGTCCTACCGACCCAGTAGGTATTAATTATCAATCGATCAATCCTCAGTCTCGTGGCTAGCTGTAATAACATGGAGAGAGAGATGGAGACGTGGAGACCCGGTACCGAGGAACTTTGTTTGGTATCGTATCGGAGTATTTGGTTCACTAGGTGTAGGATAGATTAAGATCTTCCCCATGGCATCATGTTCCTGCATGTAATGTGAATCTTTATTAAGAACACAGATCTGGAACTCCAACTGGGGGCTGAAAATACCAGTGACCCTCATGATCAGTTGAGATATACCTACGTATTTCATGATTCCTGATGTATATTATGTACGCCGTGGTGAACTGCATAGATGTACATGATGAAGTCAATTTATGTCTTTCAAGCCTCCTTTGGAACCTCCCCCTCTCAATGTAATGACGTCTTCCATTACGCTCTCAATCAGCAAGTGGTAAATCATGAATCTAACTGGTTAATTTCCATGCTTGTATGATAGTATAAGGTGTTGACCAAATTTCCAAACTATCTAGGTACTTACCAAGTATTTGCTTCATTTGACCTTCTATTCTTCATCCAGATCAACTACAGAATACTTATACAATACCACAACATCATGGCAACTTTCAAATCCATCCACAGTCGCCTTCTCAAGATTCCAGCCCCACTCCTTCCACCTGCCTCACCCCACGATCCCACACTCACATCGGAAATCGCCTCCCTTCAGCTTCATCCAACTCTAGAGACTGCTCTCCACCTTCTAAATCTCGACTTACCATCAGCACACTTTTTAGCTCGTCATATGCAGTCGGCGCCAGCATTCGAGGGCATGTATCTACATGGAATCCTACATCGAATCGAAGGCGACTATGATAATTCAAGAGCATGGTACAGCGATGTCAAGGAGTCAGAAATATATTCAAAGCTTTGGGGAAAGGGTGGTCAGACTTGGAAAGCATGGAAGGAGAAGCATGACAATGCCGGCAATAGGGAGTCCTTAGATAATGGCCAAAAGTTTTTGGATGCTGTCCAGAAGTTCAAGGAGACGAATGGAAAGGGAAGCGAGAAGGAGAAGGCATCTCTCGAGAAACAAAGCAAGGAGGAACTTGATGGTGTCATCGAATGGTGTGTGAATAAGTTCGGCACATCCAAGATGATTGATGCTAGTTCCGCGTGGGTCAAACCTAGTGATGAGATCAGGAAAATGGGCGAAGATCAAGTCAACGGAGACAGTGGAAGAAGAAAGTTTTGAGGAAAGAGTCTTTAGAACAGAGATATTAAGACAAAAACCATTGCATTAGACAAGCATAGCGATCGTTGCAGACGTGAAATCCCAGAGAGGAAGAACCACCGGACAACATAATTGGAAAAAAAAAGGGAAGATATCCTTGAGCCCGCGCTCATCGAGTGCTGAGCGTTTTGCTTAGCCCTGACTTCGTAACCCCCATGCTCCCGCAATGACACTTAAAGACGCCACACCTTTGTATCAACCATCAACCAATATGTCCGTGTAGTTGCGCAAAGTAAGAACGCCTGACTATTTAACAACATTTTCCGCCTCCCTTTGCTGCCTCGTCTGAAGGAGGAGGCGTAAGTGTAATATTTGTACCACTTGCAATAGTGGCCTGTGCAGAATCACCGTTATCGAGGGCTTTCTGGGATACAATTCGATAGATTTCTAGAGTAGGCAGACATTATTAGGATTTGCGAATACATAGACATGTAGAGAGGAGGCATACCGGTAAGAATATTTTGGAAGGCAAGCTCAACGTTGCTAGCATCGAGAGCTGAGGTCTCAATAAAGGAAAGGTTATTTTCGCCTGCAATGACAAAGATCAGCATCACATCTTGGAGGTAGAAATGAGGAATTCCTTACTGGCAAATTGTTTGGCCTCCTCCGTAGGTACAGCTCTGAGATGCCTTAAATCGCTCTTGTTTCCGACCAACATGATGACAATGTTGGAGTCAGCATGATCCCTCAACTCCTTTAACCATCTTGTAACATTTTCGTAAGTTTGGTGTTTGCTAATGTCGTAAACCAGAAGAGCACCGACGGCACCTCTATAGTAAGCGGATGTGATGGCGCGATATCTTTCCTGTCCTGCGGTATCCCAGATCTGCGCCTTGATTGTCTTTGCATCCACTTGAATTGATCGAGTTGCGAACTCTACACCGATGGTTGATTTTGAGTCTAGGTTGAATTCATTTCGAGTAAATCGACTCAAAAGATTGGATTTACCGACACCAGAGTCTCCGATAAGGACAACTATGAGAAAAGAGATTAGAGGGAGCGACCACCGGGCAGAATAATCACAAGGCAACGAAGAAGGTTGAGAGGAGAGGGATGTGGTATTTACCCTTGAACAGGAACTATCACAAGAGGTGTTAGCACATTCTGTTAAGTTGGTGATATGGATAGAATTTGATGGAGATGTATACTTACGTCGTATTCGTCATTCGCCATGATTGATGTTGAAGTAGAATAGTATTTATTATTGAAGGGGGGAAAGGGTAACGGATTTCGTTGTTGCGATGGATAGATGGATGATGGGTGTGGATATGCGAGAAACCGGGGTCGGGGGGGTTGTAAGGTTGTTTGGGTTTTTTTTTTGGGTTTTTGGGGGGACTTTGAACTTTGAACTTTGAACTTTGATGATTTCACAACTTTGATGATTTTACAAGTTGGGTGGCTCCGACTTTGTATCCCGACTGGTATTCCAACTTTGTATAGCAATTTGATTATATTTCGATTATATTTCGATTATATTTCGATTATATTTCGATTATATTTCGATTATATTTCGATTATATTTCTACTCACACCTAGGTATGGTTCACCAGTCCTGAAACTTTTATTTGGATGATATTAGACCATGGAAGTCAAAATTCAATGAAGTGACTGACTCTTAACGAAATCAATTGAATCATGAGTATGATTAATACTCGAAAAGCTTCACTCACCTCAACAAGTACTGTATGCTAGGACTAGGCATGAGATATCTAACTTGATGAATCCCTAGCATCCACCCTTCTGGTCCCCTGGTGGAATGGCGAGGCCTTGTTGAAGTGAAGCTGGTTTTGCCTTGTCTTATCTCTCCTTTTTTATAGATACTGGCTGGGGATTACTGACCAGGTACCCACGCACTTGACGAATGTTGGAAAGGAGTAGGTAGAATACTGTCTCGTTGTACGTACACTACACTCCCTGGCTGTGTATTGACTCCTGAACACTTCTCTGATAATTACGAGGCCAACGATGGAATTGAATCAATACAGTGATTCCAAAAAAGTCTACGAAATTACAACTTCTTAGATTGAGTACTCGATTGATACCGTATGGACATTCAATCTGCTTATATTCCTTTGTTCTCGTTCCCATGTGCTTGTTTGAGAATTTAGACAGGTGGTTTCGAAATTCCATGTCAGAGCGGTTGGGTTGACGGCACGTGAGAGGACAGTCAGCTAGATAGTCAGAGGAGAGGGGCCACCAGGCTCTTTGAGATTGAGAAAGCCTCATTCCCATTGTTCACTTCACTTGACTGTCACTTCAGATTCACTACATACCAGGCTCACTCATCAATTCTGTCTCTTCTCACCCCTCTCACACCTCTCACACCCCTCTCACTCTCTTGTCCCTGTTCATCAACTCCTTCTACCTAAGTAGTCGTGTGCAGTATTGGATAATCAAAATGAAAGTAATCACGTGACATCGCATTCTGCAATTGTTTGCTGTGCTTCAATTTCAAGTTGAATGGACTCAGTTCAACTTTTCCTTGAGCAAATAATTTCCTCAACAAGGAATCAAGTAACTTAAATATTTCCCTTTATCTATGTCCTGCAACATAAACCTTCAATCTCTCCTGTAACTCATCCCGTTCCGTCAACAAAATCTATTTATCTTGCATCCAAATACTTTTTCTATCTAAAACCAAACAAACCACTTTGCCTTCTTGCTAGGTACTGGTCACATTCTCTTCCGTTTGTCATCACTAAATTGAATTCGGTTGAGTCGGCAACATTGAATACATTCTACCTCTACCTCTCTCTACTACATCGTTCGACCTTCAATTTGGTATCCTTTGTCCATTTGAAATTCATGGTGCCAAATGACTTCCACCCAATCATCAAAAGAAGGGAGGTTCACCTCGCTTGAAGAAGCGGAGATTTCCAAGATTTCCATAGAGTCAACCGATGAAGAGCAATACGGCTCAGATCATGAGTTCATTGTTGAACGCATTCTGGCCCAAAAAACAGAAGATGGCCAAACGCTGTATCTGATCAGATGGACAGGATTCCCAGAGGAAGAATCATCGGTAAATACTCTTTCTTAATATCAAAACCTATCCAAAAGAGAGCTCTAGTACTCACATTCTGGTAGTGGGAGCCGAGGAAGAATATATTGGGTCAAAGCATTCTTGACGCTTGGAAAAGACGACGAACTCGTGAGCTCCAGGGCTTAGATGCACCATATGATGTCGGGAAACTGGAACTTCTAAAGAAGGTGGCTGAGGCTGGCAAAGCGCGACGTGCTTGTTTACGTCGCGAGAAGAGAAAGCGGCAGGGAATAGTCGTATCGCCTCACGAATCTGATGCAGATAGTGTTGACGAGACGCCAACGACAATTCCACATCCGCTAGTTAACACAGCTACACTCAGGGATGCAAGAAACTCCGAAAGACAACAGCAAGTTCAAGCTGCTAGAAAATCTAAAGTAAGCCCAAACATTCGTTTGAATCAAGAACCCATCTGCATGTTGTGTGGTATTGGTACCACCCTCACATATCAAGTCTCTTCCCGCAGTGTTCCACGTCCATGACTGGTTGGCAGATACAGTCACCGCGTTTCCAGAGAGATAGTATATCGAGAGTATGGTATTCATTGTCATTCTCCTTGAACGCCTGGTTTGAATTTGGACAACAAAGGATTCTTGGTCATCTAACTCGTTTGAGATATTAGATCTCTTTGACTAACTCTCCCTAAGATTCAGGAACGTCAACAAATCGACTCCGATTCATCGTCGGACGAACCGCTGTTCGTAACGTCGCGACAAAAGTCGACCTTGGGTGCCTCGTCTTCTACAAAAACACCAGCGCAGGAGAATGGAGCTTCCAAGGTAAACGCCAGCGATGATCCACTGATAGCAACCCCCGAAAGTTCTTCATCGTCTAAAAACAGCTCAGGGCCGAAGGGATCTTCGCTATCTAGAGGAGTCTCAAAGATTCGAGGAGGGGGAGGCGCCACAAGAGGAGGTTCTTCTTTACAGTCACAGAATGTTTTTCTTGGTGGAAAAGCGCCCAGAAAACAAAAAGCGAGCTTAATTGAAGCAGCGGCAGATCCGTCAAAAGACCAGCGTCATTTCAAGAACAGGCATATCCTCAGAAAAGTGGAACTGGCCGGGAGAACTATAGCAGACAAATCACCAGATATTGCTGCTATTCCTGGTGGCTTGATAAATCCTTCGAAAGTTTTATCCTCATCTGTACAACGACCAGATACTCTTTATAGAACCCCTTCTGCTCCTCAGAACGAAGTGCCCATGGAACTAGTTGAGTCGCCTCTCGAGAAGCAACAAGTCTCCCAGCGATTGCCTGCACTGCACCCATCTGAAATGTCATGGGAAGAGGTACAGCATATTCCGTACGAGAAGCGAACAATCTGTTTCTTCTTTACTCAACCCAGTGGATGCACTGATAGTAGCTGCAAGTATCTTCACAAAGATGATCCCCTCCTGCCTATTGCCCCGCCCCCAGATGGATGGTTTGGGTCGCAGCAAATTTGCTTCTTCTACAATCTGAATGGAGACTGTAGATGGGGTGATACATGTAGCTCTCTGCACGAATCAAATCCAAATATTCCAGTCAGAAAGCCGCCTCCCGGATGGGTAGCGCCAGATCCATCTATCAAAACCATGCCAACCAAAGCACAGCTTCCAAACAGTATCGACGGTCCGCAGTCGGTCTGCTATTACTGGTTCCATGATAATAGTTGCACAAAAGGAGTTGACTGCAAAATGGCACATTCGACCGATAACGATCTCCGAGTAGCACCAAGACCTGGTTCCGTTCCTTGTAGGTACTGGATTCAGGGTCATTGTCGCAATGGTGCAGATTGTTCTTTCACGCACGAACCTACTCAGGATAATCGCTCTGTATCCTACATGAGCCAACTTCACCCTAAAGTCATCGATTCCGAAAGTACAAGGGAGAAAAGCGTACAGTCTTCACTACATCAGTCAAAACCTATGCCTATATTCGGTGACGACGATACCATGGATTTCGAGATGAATATAATGCCTGACCTTCCACCGCTAGAGTCAAATATCGCAGAGCCTGAACAATGTTTCGATGATCATTCAGCAGCTGAAACAGTAAAAATCACAGGTACCAAAATTAAGATAGTGACGTTTGGTCCACAGACGCAACCTATCAAGCTCGACTTCACAAGCCTTCCACTGAATACTTCAGACTGGGCAAGAGCGTTTGCGAGTGCAGAGATTCTGGATTTCAACCAAATATGTACCATACATGACTTCAAATCGAGATACAGTCATATTCAACATTCTAATTATTGGCAAGCGAGTATCAACACCGATCCTGCTGACCAAGCTGTACGCGACACGGTTACAAATATGGCTAAGCATCTCTGTCTTCAGATGTCTGGTTTGGCGTGTATTTCGAGCAATTACATTATTCTACTCTATCCAACTGTGGCTGAAGAATGGAAGTATTTAGATGCAACACCTGATCTACCAACTGACGCTACACTGAAATACTTGGTATTCGGTTCTCAAAGTCCTATTTCAAGTTCTATGGAATCTGCCACAATCGACAAAATTTCATTGACGGCTCTTTCTCACAGTGACATGATGATGAAAAGCTTCCATCATCTTGATTACGAAAAATTGACCATAGACTTGAAGCTTAAGGACCAGAAACTCAAGAAACCTATCACCTTCAACTTTTGTTTGATATTTCCTGCATCTAAACAGCGTCTTGCGGAATTGATAGCATCTTGGCTCAAGAGCTGTTCCAAAGACGACGGCAAGATATACAGCTACCAGAAGCCAGGATGCTGGAACCATTTCAAAAAGCATGTCAACGCTGGAGCTGTGCTGATACACTCGTCTGCGCTCAGTCTTATCTCTGATACAGATCTCATTCATGGCATGACGCTAGACGGGATGAACTACACATTTTGGTGTATCCAAGATAGCACATCTAAAGTGCCATTCTCCCAAATGCAAAAACAATCCGAACTGGGTCAAGTCATAACAAAACGCCTCCTACCTTTAGGGTATACCATACTCCTCACACCAAGCTTCTTGGTTGCAGAACCAGTCATGACACTTAGCTTTTTGCAATGGTACCAAAAGAAACTGAAAAGCTCGATAAGTGGCTCAATCAGAGTATTGTGCTGCCACGAACTCCCGAGCTTTCTTATGGAACTTGCAATTTCGAAGGCTGAGGAGCAACAAGAATTGATGAAACGCCTTGCTGGTGACCCGTCGATGCTTTCTAAATTAAGCGAAAGGGGATTAAGTCACGAACAGTGTACAGCGAGACTCGATCTATATTGGCTTCTTTGTGATATTCTACGCAGGGATCTTCCTGCCAATCTATCTCCATTCGATCGTGATCCATCCGAAGAGAATTCGCGGAGTCCATTTCTCTTTGCGCCTCCACTCATCGATCAAAATGACGAAAAAAAGTTGGTCGCTTGGTTTGCGGGGTGGGCTTACGCAAATCTCGATAACTATAGACGATTCTACGTCATTGGTTCTGGAAAATCAAATAGAAGCTTTGGTGTTCCAGTGAGAATGATTCCAGAGAGCGAAAGTCTCCCACCGAATTCCAAGGCTTTCCGGGAAGGAGGCGCGTTAGCGTGGGCCAGGCGAGGAAGGAACCCGATTCCTATTGCCTGCAGCACCGCACCATTGGGCGCCAATGAAAACCCGTTAGAAAAAGCGGGAGTGAAGTTGAAGGAATTCAAATACGAATTTACGGATGAATGGTATCCCGAGTGGAGGAGAAAACCGGGTGAAGGACGGAGTTCAAATCATATCATCGAGTATCGATGGAATCGTGTTTTTGAGTCGCTCAAAATCCCTTTCGAGCCGGTAAAAGTTAACTATTGATTCATGAAAGGGAGTTTGGAAGATACTCGTGGAGTTTGAGCGTTCATACATTTTGAGTTTTCTTGCTATTATGATACCATATGCTTTACACAACAAAGCTACACAAACAATAATAAGTTGGCGTTGACTGTTCGAATGATTTAGAGCCTGCAAGATAATCATCGTGCCAAAGTTTTTGTCGAACCTTTTTAGATGCCGCAAGGGTCATGTGTTCCCTATACTGGTACATATTATTAGATTATATGGCAAAATGCAGTCCCATGTGTTGTATTAGTATCATAAAATGATTTTGGAGCTTTTTATTAATGAAAAAAGAGGGGTCTGAAGAAAGGAAGGACCGATCTACTTCCTCTAATGTATGCCAGACTATAATGGCATTGTGGGCCAGCTCGCCTTGTTTTAGAGCCCTCGTGCCTGGGAGTAGGAGGGGAAACCCCCTGTGATCTCCCCTTCCCCCTGAAGGTTCCATGTTATCGTTGTTCCAGTTCATATCTTGAAATGACTCTCATACTCTCATCGATTACCATATAACCATTTGACTTAGCTTCGTATAGAAAACATTACTTCTACGCCGTACACAATTAGACAGCACTTTCTATTGTTGGGAACATGGGCAGCGAAACAATTGGCAAGAGGAAAGGAGACTTGCGCGCGGTGAAGGAAAGAGAATGCTCAGACTTTCTTCTGTTTGCGCTGGCGGTACTGCTTCATGTCAGTCGCTTGGGTGCATTCTTACGAGGCCAAGGTTAGTCTCTTCCATTCGCTCTATTGCCGCGCTATTTAGATCGTCAAAAAGTAAATATTCATATCCCCCCCCCCTTCCCCAGCAACCTGATGAACTTAGATCGATAGTGATACGAGTACAGGAGGAGGATGAGAAGCAAAGAAACACGGGATGCACCTCCCCTAGCCCTCATTTACACATCTTCATTACACACAGCCCTCCACTAAAAATTGCATGGATGGATATTGAGCCGAGTTATCGATGACAACTACTCTCAGGCCCCTTTCGTTTGTGGAAGTACATTTGGATTGGCCGCGAGATAGAGTGAGTCCAGGAGCGATGAAGAATTATTTTTGCTTCTGAAAGCCTGCTGAGATACTCCAGCGGGAGTTTGTTACGAAAACATGCTTGCAGAAGTTAGCGGATGTGTTTTCGGTTGAAGTTCTGCAGGCGATGGTATGCTGTGTGTCAATTGCAATTTTGCCTTCTTGTTTACACAGCTGCAAAGATACTGAAACCGACCAACGAGTAAGATGAGCCATATGTATTGGTATCGCGAGACTGTGGTTGTGATTGTGGCAGAAGATAGAGAAGAGCCTGTGCCATGGCTGTGCTAAGGGAAGAGAAACATTGTGTCACTGAGGCAAGACCTTCGCAATCGTACAGTGAGATGAGCCACCTAGAGGATAGTTAATGGAGTTGAGATTTCATATTGCAGGATTGTATGTGATACGGAAAGGGCTAGAGGGCGAATGCAGTCAGGACAGAGATATCATCAGGCCATAGCAGGCTCACAGTCATTAAATGTGCGGCTTGAAGATGAAAAGGTGATGTAAATTTATATTTCTTGAAGGAATGAATCTAGAAGAGGTCATTCACAACTTTGTAAAGTGTAACAATATACTTTACGTTGAATTATTCATAATTTTAGCTTTTTCTGGTTATGATCATGTATTCTTTTTGTAGGTTTTGGTACGTGGACGAGCTAAAAGATTCTTCAAAAGATTCAAAAGATTGAAAGTGCGCTCATATCAGTCAAGGCCCCCTTTCAAAAAACGTACAATGTAGTGAGGATATCTCTCAATGGAATGCGCTTTAATAATTTCTATTTTCTCTGACAACAGAAGGAGGCTATTGATTCTTTTCCTTCCAAACCCAAAACGCCAGTATATGCAACAAGTATCATTTCCGAGAAAGAACTCATACACCCATCACGAACCCTGTAAAATTACTACACTACTTGGATTTGCTTCCCTTCTTCTTCTTCTCCTTACTCTCCTTCTTCGTGGTATCTGTCTTCAAAGTCTCCTCTTTCTTGGCCTCTTCTTTCTTGGCCTTCTCCTTAACTTCCTTCTTGGGCGTATCAGCCTTGGCTGTCTCGTCTTCCTTGATCTTCTCTACTTTGGTATCTGCCTTTGTCTTGTCTGCTTTGGGATCGATACCCTTTCGTTTCAAGGTGTTCTTTCTCGCCTTCACAATATACTCGTCATCTTCACCATCATCCCATCCTCCAAATGCATCCTCCTCCTCAGTTTCTCTAATAGGTGTCTTGTCAATATCCAACTCATCCAATTCCTTCGCAGCATCCTTCTCGCCAGGCTTGATCTTGGGAGATGGACCTGTCTTCTTGAATTTAGAGACGAAGAAACCATCGACGTTATAAGCGTGGGGGTAATATCTTCTTGTCATCTTCATGTTCTTGTCAAAGCTTTTGCCCATGTATGACGTGAAACCCTCCTTACCAAAAGTTAGGCCAGTCTCCACAAGCTTAACGTTTGGTCTCTTGTTGAGCACATATTGAACGACTTGCTCGTTCTCCTCAACGGTAACACTACATGTCGAATAAACGATGTAACCTCCGGTCTTGCTTGCGTGGTCAACTGAGTCGATAGCAGAGAGAAGGAGCTGCTTTTGCAAATGAGGAAGCATGAGGAAATCTCGTTCTGTTTTGTTCGTCTTCACACTAGCATCCTTGGCGATAACTCCAGTACCGGAACATGGTGCATCAAGTAAGACACGATCGAAACCTCCGATAACTCTGGGGAACTCCCTGGCGTCGTAATTACACACGATCACATTTTTGGCTCCTAGACGATGGATGTTACCGATCAAACCTTTAGCACGAGATTTGTTGCTATCGTTGGCGAAGATGCAACCTGTGTTCTTCATCAACGCGGCAATGTGTGTTGTTTTTCCACCAGGAGCAGAGGCCATATCGAGGACACGTTCGTTTTCTTGTGGTGCAAGAGCCATCACGGGAAGGAAAGAAGAAGCAGCTTGTAGAATATAATGTCCGGCAAGGTACTCTGGAGTGGCACCCAAGGGTACAGCACTCTCGAAAATTTGCAGACCAACTTTGGACCATTTTCCCACTGGCTCTAAGACTACTCCACGGTTAATCAATGCCTGTGCAAGGTCTCTTCGATGTGTTCGTAAGGTGTTTGTTCGGATGACGACAGGTCTTGGGGTTTCGTTGGCCTCGAAGAATGCAAAAGCCTCCTTGGGCGGGAACAAGTTGAAGAGCTTTTCTGCTAAGAATTCCGAGTAACCATAATATGCGCAAATATCCTTGATCAACTGAGCTGTGTATTCGGCTCTGGATCTACCCTCCTCGGAAAGATTCGAGAAGTCATCCAAGACTCGGATAGTATCGTTGATTCGAGATCGTAGAAGCTGTAGATCGGGTGCCAATAAAGCATTAGTCTTGGGCGCCTCTCCGTCTTCGTCGTCGCTGTCAAATATATGAGGTCTATCTCCTGCAATGTTTGTTTGCATAGCAGCTTCCTCCAATTCAGCCTGTGCCTCTGCGGCCTCCTCAGCTTTTTGCTCATCCAATTTCCTTGAAAGTCCAGCGATATTGGCAGCAGTGAGTTTTTCCTCGGCATCAGACTCGTCCTCATCCTCGGAGAACATTGCTTTTGGGTGATCATCATCCGAATCATAGACATCACTTCCACTGTCCGAGCCGAGGAAATCATCTGGAAGACCGGGACCATCATCATCTGAAACATCCAATTCGTCAAATTCGTCATTCATGAGATCCGCCGCATCAGAGTCGACATCCTCCATCTCCTCATCTGACATGGGCAATGGTGCAGCCTTCTTCGACTTTTTCGCAGAAGGTTTCTGAACCGGTAACGAGTTTGTGAATTTTCCCTTTGTTGCGTTCTGTGCCGCCGAGTTCTTCTTGCCATTGGCAGCTCCATTGGACTTTTTCTCCGAAGTTCGACGTTTCTTATTAGGATCGGGAGCATATTGCATCGATTCTGCTCTAGATTCTGCTACTGACATTCCAGCTTTTCTTTTTAAGTTGGTGAAATGTGCTTCATCGAGCGGTTCGGGCATGCCCTGCTTCTTCATACGTCTTCCGACACCCATTTTCAATGATTTCTTTGGATGTTCGTACTAAAAATCAAAAGTTGAATGTAAAGATTCGCAAATGCAGCAAATGCGATTTGAGGGAACTTTTTTTCTAGACGAATATAATTTTCTCGCAGATAAGGTTTAGCGCACTTAACTTATCAAGCTCGGTCGCCGTTATTCCGATGCCAAGACTTTTATCTTGTGCTATGGTCAGGTCACACACATGATGGAGTGGTTATTGTGAATTTGATTGTCTGTAGCTTGTTTCGCCCGCAGTTGAACTTCCAAGAATTATAGACGTTTTTACCCAACTTCTTCAAATATTGTTCATAATGACTGAACTCACATTTGCCAAATCCTTCATTCAGACTCTCGATTCGCGGTCTCCCAAAATTACTGCCGATCATGTTGAAGATCCAAGAAATTATCCCTCAAGAGGGGCAGTATGTCTCCCTTGCACTCTTACTTTGTGTACCTCGTTTTGCGTCACTCACGTCGCCCTACCTTCTCTCCCCCTTTTACTTCGAGTTATTGCTCCCCATACTAACAAGTATGATAGGCTATTCTCCCAAAGATGAGAAAACCTCCCGCGAAACGTCAAAAGTTGACTCCTGGACAAGAACGTAGCATCTCGGTATCTTTGAAGTCATCGCGAAACCCACCTCTCGACGTAACACTTTCTGCACTGTCACCAAATACTTCCATTCTTAATTTAAAAGAGTCTTTATCCGAGAAAGAAGGGATTCCCGTGGAGAAATTAAGGGTACTTTACAACAAGAAACCGGTCGGAGATGCGAAAGTTTTGAAAGATGTTATTGGTGAAGAAGAAACCAAAGTCGAATTTAGTATCATGGTAATGGGTGGAGCTGCTTCCGTGAGAAAAGCCGAGACGCCCGGGAAGGAAGTAGAGGCACCAGTTGCACAAGGGCCTAGTGGACTGGAAACTCTTGCTGGGGAAGAGTTCTGGGGAGATTTGAAGGGCTTTTTGGTGCAGCGATTGAGGGACGAAGAACAGGGAAACAAATTGTATGAAGTATTCAAAAAAGCCTGGGAAAGTAGCGCGGTTTGAGGTACATAATTCACGAGAGAACAAAGCGAGGAGTTTGTCAATGTACAATTGAAAAGACACAGGCAAGTTTGCCAATTCAGAAACAAGTACTTCCGCAAAAGTCGCTTTTAATGTCTTCATATATCATCACGCTGAAATGATCAATCCGTCTTCAGAAGAATAAATTCACACCCATGCATATCATCGCAGGCAATAAGCACCCAATGAAACAGTGTTCCTTCCTGTCACGTTCGTTCCCAAAACCATAAGGCTTGTATCTATGCCTTGAGAGCGGCTGTACCCTTGCTGACTGTCTTCAACATTTCATTCTCCTCGAGGTCGGCTTCGTCGTTTGCTTGAAGTTCATCGCCCGAAAGTCCGGATAAGGCACGCTTGAAAGATTCCTTGGTGGAGGCGTACATCATTTTTGGCTAGAAAGTTATTAGCACTAGAAGGCGATACTAGAAGATGAGACTTACGAAGGTAGTAGCATCATCAGGGGACCACGAAATGAAAGTAAGCTTGGTTCTAGTAACATATTAGCCCCCAATCCATAAAGCCAAATGGAAATAAAATCACCTTTGTCCCTCTCCGTTGGCCAAATCGTAGTTGAAGTCGTAGACAGCGTATCTGGGACCTTTACCCTGGGTTTTCTGTAATGTTTATCAGCGCTTGGTCCCCAATAATAAGCTTTTAAACATACGTTCTTGTTGAGTGCCTTTGCATTTACAAGGACCTCACGGAATGGTTCCCAGTCTGCCGACTCGCTGGAAGTGTCGACAACAACCTTTGTGCCTTCATCGTTGATCTTGTAAACGATCCACTTAATCTTCTTTTGAAGCTTCATCTCGTTAAACTTCTCGATGCATTCATCTTCGACGGTGATACTGTAGACTTGTCAACTAATGCTCTGCGGCCCTGCTCAAATTTTTGGTAGGAACAGATTCGCATCAAGCTCGGTTGTCACCGCAAGTCACTGATGGTAGTCGGTTGAGTAGTGGGGTGAACTGACCCTGAGTTAGACTATTCAGGCGAAATCATTAGCAAACGGTTGTATGTCAGTTGGTAGAATAGAAGCTGCATACCATGATGTCAAGAAAGTCTATGCGACGATTTGTGTTGGTAGAAACTGTCAAATCGACCGAAAGTCAGCAAATGCCTAATACTTAACAACTAGACAGATAAACAAATCGAATGACTTTGAGTCAAGACCAAGCTGTCGAATCAAGAACGTACGTTAAAGATTGTTCAGAGACCTGCGTTCCAAAGTCCACTGTATGTTGTGGTAATTGCGAGGTAGTAGGAGGAGCGAGAGAAAAGCTTGGGAGATGTTTATCTTTGGGAGAGTTTTGGATTTTGCGAACGGGGATGAAGGTCAAGAACTTGGTGGGGTTACTTGCCGGTGTGCGATCACCTGAGTGGGACGCTAAAAATACCTTGTCGTGCTTTCACACTCAATCTGGATGGGTGAAAGCTGGCAACTTGAGAGAATTTTACCCCTTTCAAGATATAAAAAATGAATATGGCCTCTGCTGGGTAATGCAGACAGGAACCAAGTCAAAAATGCGAATGGTATATTTCTGGTTATGATAAATTGTCAACGATGAGGTAGATATCTGTGGGTGGAGAAATTTCCTCTAGAGTTGTGCAGTACACTCTTTGAACGTTTTATCGGTAATTTTTGGGGCAACAAAGATATGCATATAGGGTGCTCTTATTACTAGCTAGATATGTAGAAGTCAAAATTGAAGATCTGAAGTTGTGATTCTTGGAGGAGTAATATAATAATTTCAATGGCTGCCTGGGTAGAAGGTAGAAGTCAAAGAAATACATCTGAAGCTGTAAGCTCCTGATTGTACGTAGATAGTTGCATTTATCTCATCCATGATGAACTTACATAACCGCCTAGAGAGATGGGCAAACTGAATTCGCTTACCATGTAAATTTGTATAGGAAGTAGGCAGAAGAATAATCTATGCTATTTCCAAGAAGCTTTTGGTTGATACCTCTGTGAATGTCATCAAATGGTGTGCATCATTATGAAGGCTACCCACCTAATCGATGCCATCTTACTATCTTTCCTGCTTTGATCACAAGGCAGATATATTCCAAGAAAATTGACACGCAAACGAACACATCACCCGTCTTGTATAATCAAGTCAGCCACACTGTGTGGTCATTGAAATGGATTTGAAATTTTTCATATTTTATTTTAGTTTCATTAATTTACATGGTCATAATCTCTTAAACACATCATATCGCTCCGTGATGCCATGCAGGACGAGGAACGAAAAAGGGTGAGTGGGGTGTTATACAATGTTTTGTCCGGTACCAAATTGTCTGGTAATCAAATCGCACAGACAGATGAGGCTCAGACGGGTATTTTATTTTATTTTGACCAATAACTTTTTACATCATTCCTATCATATTGTTAGCGTAATGTTCATCACAACGAGTAAAATAATGTACTAACCTCCCATACCGCCCATTCCTCCCATGCCACCCATACCGCCAGCTGGTGGTCCCTTCTCTTCTGGTGCCTCGACAATAGCAACTTCAGTGGTACCTAATAATGAAGCAACACCGCTGGCATCAACCAAACCAGTGCGGACAACCTTGAATGGATCGACAATACCGGCAGCAATCATGTCAACGTACTCTCCAGTTGCGCTGTTGAATCCCTTGTTAAAGTCGGATCCAAATTCATCCATGAGCTTACCAACGACAACTGATCCTTCAGTACCAGCGTTTTCAACGATGGTGCGCGCTGGCTTGGTGATAGCGCTCTTAATAATGTTGATACCAAGTTGTTGATCGAAGTTGGCAGGTTTAAGACCTCCAAGAGCTTGACCAGCAGCCTTGAGGAGAGCAGTTCCACCACCTGGAAGGATACCTTCCTCAACAGCAGCACGAGTAGCGTTGAGAGCATCAACGAATCGATCCTTCTTCTCACCAACCTCAACCTCGGATGCGCCACCGACCTTGATGACAGCTACACCACCGGAAAGCTTAGCGAGACGCTCCTGGAGCTTCTCCTTCTCGTAATCAGAGGTGGTAGGGTCGTTCATGACACCTCGGATTTGCTCACATCGCTGAGCGATGGCATCCTTGCTACCCTCACCGTTCAAGATGATGGTATCCTCCTTGGTAATGGTGATAGATCCAGTAGTACCGAGCATGTCTGCAGTGGCCTTCTCGAGCTTGAGATCAAGCTCGTCAGTGAAAACGGTAGCATTGGTCAAGATACCGAGATCGCCGAGGATGGACTTTCGGTTGTCACCGAAACCGGGGGCCTTGACAGCGGCAACTTGGAGTTGACCACGGAGCTTGTTAAGAATGCATACAGCGAGAGCTTCTCCATCGATATCTTCAGCAATGATGACCAAAGGACGGCGAAGTTGAGTGGATGCCTCAAGTGCTGGGATGATGTCTTGGACGTTTGAGATCTTCTTCTCAGAAAGGAGAATCAATGGCTTCTCGAATTCCACTTTTTGCGACTTGGTATCGGTGATGAAGTATGGGGAGACATAACCGCGGTCAAATCTCATTCCCTCGGTAATATCGAGTTCATCCTCCATGGTCTTTCCCTCCTTGACTGTGATGACACCTTCCTTTCCAACCTTCTCCATAGCATTGGCAATCAACTTTCCGATATGGGTATCACCGTTTGCACTGATGGTCGCAACTTGTGCGATTTCCTCGCTGGTTGTGATATCACGCTTGTTCTTTTGCAAAAACTCAACGACGGCCTCTACGGCGGCTTGGGTACCTCTGCGCAAGTCCATTGGGTTGCATCCTGCGGCGACGTTCTTTACGGTCTCGGAGAAAATAGATTTAGCAAGGACAGTAGCGGTTGTGGTTCCATCACCAGCGGTCTCGTTGGTTTTCGAGGCAACATCTTGGATGAGTCTAGCACCGAGATTCTCGAATTTATCCTTGAGGGAAATAGCTCTGGCAACAGTTACACCATCTATTCACCAACAATTAGAATTTTACAACCAGGTAGCCGAGGGGTTTCACAAACCTTTAGTGATCTTTGGGGAGCCATATGCTGACTCAATAAGAACATTTCGGCCTTTTGGACCGAGGGTTGTGGCAACAGCTTTTGCCAAAGTCTCAACACCAGCAAGAAGAGCTGCTCTACCCTCAACACCGAATTTGAGCTCCTAAATTAAAAACATGATTAGTTTACAATCACCAGATATCTAGTCGTATCTTATAGCGACATGAACTGAAGTTAACCCAACATACCTTGTGAGCGAATCTCAATTGTTGTAAAGGACGAAGCTTTGAAGCTGTCGATCCGTTAAGGATCGAAGCTCTTGCTCTAGAACTCAAAGCACGTTGCATCTTGAATCAATTGAATGAAAGACGCTTATGGAATATAACAAATTAAAAATTGGATATTTAAAAGCTCTCAAAGTTTACAGAGAAGAGGCCTTTTTGTTGTTCAAAGTAAATAGAAAGAATGGAGACTTTGAGATCTTGGAGATAATTTTTCTGGGCCCATGTTCGGCAGAACCTTTCTCCATCGAATCTGCGAGAAACATTTGAGCTGGGTGAACGGAAGTTCCCGAATGGAGGGGCCGAGCTGCCGGACATATTTTACTTGATGACTAATGAATTTGACTTTCATATTCAAACCTCACTTCAAACTTCACTCGCACTACACTTCACTGCACTTCACTACACTTCACTGACCGTTAACGCAGTGGCCACTTCAACCTTCATCCATATGTTGATATATCATATCATTCAAGTTATGAGGCAAGATCTACTCTGAAGAAGGATTAGTACCAACGTGTAGGCATGTATAGATATAGTATATAGTGCCTGTTACTTCTCAGATTTCATGCAAAGAAGGACAGTGAAACCTATGGGTGTGCATAGGTATGTAAAATGTATACCCTTAGTATTCATGATGCTTTGATTTGTGCCGATACTGATGTCAAGATCTCTGAGTTCCTTGGACGCACATGAATGTCCCTAAACCCCTCTTCAGTTATATACCTCCTTGTGTCTTCAAAAGGAACTGTTGCGACTTTGATGACCATATATCGAACCTGAGTCTTTTGTTTGAATTTTGACTCTGAACTCAGGAAGAAGTATTGAAAAGAAGTAGCGATTCAGTGTACGAAAAAAGTAGCGAGTGTTACCTGTCCCGACGTACCGTTCTGGCTTGAGAGTTCAGCAGTCACTTGAATCATGATATACACAAGTGAGCCTCATATTCAATTATTATGAGTAACGCACTCCTTGAGAAATTCATTGAAGTCGATCAAAGCTTTTGCTGCTCGTACTCATGGGTGTTATTAGTATATATCATGAGTGCGTAAGGAGAAACTTACACAAATCTTGATCTTCATCATAGTATAATGATTGGTCTTAATAGTAGTTCATAGCCGAATATAGTCTCATCACTCTTAATTTGATATCAGGAGTTACGGGCAATGGAAAAAAGTAATGGTATTGCATGATCGCGACCCATACAGTGATACGGAGCTGATACTTTCCAAATTCTACTCTTCAATGTGAGGTGAATCAATTTTAGAACGGTAAAAGTAAAAAGGTCTCTTCATTAAGCAAAGAAAGATGGATTCACACCACATTTGTACATCAATTTGCTAGGTTATCATCCCAAGCGAGGGGGTAGAAACGGGCCAACCCCGCAGTGGCTGCCTTTGTCAACACCAGCCCTCCAATCAGCGTAGCCAAGGATTGATTCTATCGTATGTTATTAATATTATCCATATATATGAAGAAGTACTTCTCACTTTTTCTAGAGAAGTATATCATATCAAGTGACTGTGTAAGTCTCAACCACTCACACGGAAGCCTGCTTCTCAATCATTCATATGGAGCTTTGCTAGCATTCTATTTCGTAAATCAGGACTACCTACTATCTAACACGCATCAATGAACAGTCATGATAAATGGTACCGCCTCAAGCCTATAAAGATATCGATACATACAAAAGGAAGTGAGGTTGAGATGTCACAGAAGTGCTAGATTCCTCTAAAAGATGGTGAGCAGGAGGAATTCTCAGGTATTCATCGTCTGATAGGTAGCATGTCTTTGTAGGCTGAGTTTATAGGTGAATACAATTCATAGTCAGCTTTGATCATCATGACCTGCCTCAATCTCTAGCTAAATAACACAAAGACTTGAGGTTCGTTTATCATTTGGATGTCACATAGCCTTACTGTTTACCACCAGATAAGTCTTCTATCTTCTATATCTGAAATCACAGCTAATTACTTGGCATTCTCATTAAAATTGCTATGATTCTTAGTACCCCAAAGCAGGGCAGCTACAAGAAAGCAAAAGAACAATTTGTCATTCGAAATGCCCACTGTCCAACATTGACCCATATGGACACTCACAGTCCAAGTAATTCGAGAAGGTGAAGGAGAAGTCAGAGTAGCACGGACCTCGCCTATTCATTCAATAACCTTATCTAGGCATGTGATTCACCTCCACAATTCTACCTAATGGCTTGCCAGCTTTTCTTTTCTTTGTGAATTGCTGCCTGCAACTCAATCAACTCTTTTGACTCTCCGCCAGGAACAAAAATGAATAGACAACCTTTCAAGCAAAAATTGTGTCCTGGCATTGAAAAACCAACAAGCACACTACTAGGTATGTATTCCTTCGAAATGGTAAGTAGCCATCTAATACTGCATCTTTCCTGACATTCCACGCTGAAGTATACTGATTTATCACAGAAAAACAGGTTTTCAGCCTCGAAATTCCCACAGACCTTGGTTTCCTTCAACTTTCCTCGAATCCGAACTACCTCACAGCGACGAGTGCTAGTAACTTGGTTGGGCAAAGAGAGAATAACCACCCACACCTTGATTGAGAATACCACCGCGTTCGGAAACCTCATTGCATGGCCTGACTTTTCCAATCTCACTCACTGTTCAACTCAAGTGGAGACTGCTCACTCGAGCCATCTGAGCACAAGTCTCGTACGAGTGTTGGGATTCATTCTTCTATTACCGATCACGGAGAGTCAATCTTTGCGTTCTGCAAGAACTTCAAGACGGAACGTTGCATGAGCGTTGTCATAGTTCTAGGATAAGAAAATGGAATCTTGACGACCTACAGGGATTCTAAGACGGAAGGTTGTACGAGCGTTCAGTCATGGTCGCGGGAGACGAATCCATACCATCACTTGATAGTCCTCATTCACAGCCCATCTATAATTCGGGAAAGGATAACGCATCTGCATAAGCTCTCCATACAGCTGTTGAGCAGAACCTACTTTCTATTCCCTGAAAGAATGAAACTGCGTGTAGCGGCATACTACGGACGATTTCTTGAAGCAACTTAGCTTAGCTCCCTATAAGAACATCAAAGAGGAAGGTTGTACGAGCTTCCGAGTCGCAGCTTGGTGAAGCGAACCTCCACAATTACTTGAAAGTTTTTACCTCCCAGCTCATCTATTTTGCAAACCCTCCTCCCTCGGCAGTCAAATTAAAAATGACAACATGCAGCAGCATCCACCGGAACTTTATCGACGACCTCCTGAGGTAACTTCGCCGAGCAAAATTGACGTATTGACTTTGCAGAACAGTGCCTTTCCTCCCCTTGGCATTTTTCTACAGAGCGTAGTTGATCTCCTCCAAGTGGAAGGCATGCTGAGTCGCAGGGTGTTGCATTACATACAAGGCCGGACCACGCTATGAGGGCACACTACTGCCTGATTCGATTCAATTATGTTAGCATAAGAACTCACACGCATTTTCACAAGGGAAAAGGAATTTCATAGGAGATTGTTATCTAAAGCATCTATCTATGATACAAGGTCTTGTGTCCTCCGCTTTTTTCACTGCTGAACGAATGCCGATGAGTATTTCCATTCGATACGACCAGCAAACAACTTACGAAAACTCCTGTTCACCAAGAGAAGTTCCGGAAACAAGAGAAAAATCGCAGTCGAATGAGGAAGCAAACAGGAAAGATCGCTCGTGCGGATACGGCAGTTTCGACAAGTAAAGCAAATTAACGACCAAATGTTTTTGTCCATGAAACCGTTTACGCCCTCCGCCAAGCCCAAAGACTTCAAATATGATAACTAGGGTTTACACAGAACGATGATGAAATATTATGAAAGATTTTTGATAGCCAGGGTTTCATGACAACTTAGGAGCATCCAAACGCCAACAGAAAGCGATAGAAGCTAAATCTGTGGTGAAAGAAGTATGATCCAACTGGTCCAAAATCAATCGTTAATACAAAGAACGAAAATGTAAAGAGAAATAATTGCAAGATCGAAATTGCTTTGAAAGTTACTGCACCCGTTTGGCGGATAAGAATTGGCATGGTTGTATCGTCAATATCTGTTGTGCCAAGGTTGTTCATCTTTGAAGGCAAAAAACGGACTCAAAGGTTGCTGTCATCAGGGATGAAAGGTTGGTTAGAATTGTAATCTTGAACAAACCCATCGTTGAAAGATTCGAAACCCTGTCCAGGAAGTTCGCTGGGATCGATAAACTCGTAAGCAGATCCGTCATAGGTGGGACCCGCAGAGTCAGTAAAGTTGCCGTACCCGCTACTGTCCGAGCTGACTCCGATGCTAGGTGGCAAGGAACTCATGCTGTTATGACCACCATTTAGATCCTGCATCATCTCACCTGGGCCGTCGAAGTTCAAGCCATGGTTTATGACAGGTGCTGAGCCGGAGGTTTGAAAGCCGAAGAATTGCTGGTTGGGGTATTGGTAGCTACCATGTGTATTTTGATACGGTCCCGTCTCAACATTCATAAAGTTATGACTGCTATAAGTTTGGCCGTAAACTTGATCATAGGATTGAGCATTTAATGCACCTTGTGGGTTGTAAGTACCGGAACCAGGGTTCATGCCTCCATTGTAGCCGTAAGGTGTGAAAACAAGCTGATTCTGAAGCTCAGAATTACCATTGTTGAGATGCAAGCCTACATGACCAAAAACATCATCAACGTCGCGAGCATGAGCATCTGCGATCGTCTCTGCGTCATCATCACCATCGCCATATCTGCCAATGTACTCGGTCTCATCGACTGCAACCTCCTCCTCAGCTGAGTTCACGGAAGCGCCTGCAGCGAATTTCTTTAGCTTATCGGGTGAAATCTTGAGCTTGAGTGGCAAACTGGCTAAAGGTGTCATTGCATGATTTCCGGCAACCTTCTTGCAGGGTGTCTCTTCAAGGAAGTCATCATTGTCAGAATATCCAAATGATTCACCCTCGGAATCGCTGGTCTCATCCAAATCATATTTACGCTCGGTCTTGACCTTGACCTTACGCTTGCGATGACCCTTGATCTTAAGACGGTTTCCGGGGTCGTAATCCTCATCTGATGGCATTTCTGTAGGGTCGATAGATTCGGATCGCTCCCTCTTGACCATGAAAGACTTCTCCTTTTGTTCAGTCTTTGCCTTCGGTGCTCGCTTTTCAGCACCTTGTCGACTAGAGAGAGTCTTGGTAGGGGTTTCCTCGACGATGGCTACCTTGTTGTTTTGCCATCGAGCCCTATCACGACGATAAGTTCCTGAGCCTCTGGTGACACCAGGAATGACTAGACTCTCTTTCAAGTCCTCAATTTTCTCATCCCAAGTAACTGCACGAGTTGCTTTTGGGTCTTCAGAATTCATATCACGAATGTATCCACGAACATTTGGATCAACATTATTCTTCTTTGCAAAAGGAGGAGGAACAAGGTGACCTTCTGGAATAAGAATTTCACGCAGCTTATTGATATGCTGTATGGTAGCTGCACCAGAACTACCAGGGCGTATTCTGTGAGCGATGTTGTCCCACGGAATGTCCAATTCTGCTCGGCGGCATTCATACACCATGCATAGAATCAATTTCTCGGGCATTCTTACTTCTATAGTTTGATTAGTCCTTGTTCTCGAGGTTGATATGAAGAATGGAAGCTTACTGTGCCAAGGTACAAGCTTGCGTCCTTCGACTCGACCATTTGGATGTGTTGGTTTTCCAGCAGAGCCAATTACCTTACCAGCTTTGCCCCAAGTGTTTTCGGGGGACTTGACTCCATCGTTCTCGTCCTCCCAGTCATCGTCGTCTTCTTCGGAATACTCGCCGCGTAGTTCGCTTCTCAAGATCGCGCGGCTTTCTCTGATCTCTCTCTTCTCTATAAAAGGTCAGCTCAAGCACGACTTCAATGGCTTCCATCCTCGCGAAGGACGTGTATCGATAACAAAAATATCGTATTTTCCGAGCGACTTACTTGAAGATTGATTGATCTTAGAGATCTGGTTGGGTGTGCGCTTAGTACTAGCAGCTTTTCTTGGAGATAGAGATCTGACTGTCTTTCTTCCATTACCACGGACAGCTTTGGCTGATGAATCGGATGGCGTGACGGGATCATAGCTGTCATCTATCTCGATCGAGGCGAATAGATCTTTGGTATTTATTTTAGCTTGGGAATTAGAGAAAATGCTAGACTTGACAGGTGTAGCAACAGAACCACGACGGGGAGATTCTTGCTTCTCGATGTTGTTGAGGTTTTGGTCACGGCCAAGTCCCTCGGTCACATCGGTATCTCCATCAGTTGAAGGCATGTTTGCTGAGAATTGACTGTTCATGCGTTGTGTGGTTGTCTTGTAGTTGTTGTGTGAAGAAGGGAAGGGAAGCTATTTGGGGCGAAGAAATACTTGTTAGCTTTTGTTGCTTGATTGAGCACCTTGTCAGACATCTAGCAGATATGCGCTAGCTATTCCGAAAGCGGACGTGAGGAGCGTGGAGTCTTGAATTGAGAGATGAAAATGAAGTGAATTTAGAGTGGTAAAAGGTAGGTGCGAAGATTGCAAGTTGCATGAGATCGTGGAAAGATAAGAATCGGACAAATTTACCAAAGGGGAAATGGCATACGAGTCTGAATCCAGATGAAATCTTTCTCATAGTCATGGGTGTGTTTCCACTGTTCTGGGGATTTCAGTTGTGGCATCGGTCAAATACGATACCAAGTAAGAAAGCCCTTCGGGACCAGAGGTCTGATGGTAGTCGATGCAAGCACAATACATAAATGCATATTGGTGTGCAGAAAGAATTGTGTGCTTTCCATCCTATTGATCTTTTTGGGCTTCAGATGGCCGCAAAACCGCCCTAAGCCAAGTATTGCTTCGGCGACGCCATCATCAACAAGAAGAAGAGTCCTCTGTGAATCGGCAGAGCCTTGATCATATACACCTCGATTGACTGAGGGTATTCTGATTTGAATTGTGTGTTGGGAGAGTGTGACTGCTAGATCGGGAAGGTGGGGTAGGGTAGTGATGGGAAAGTCGCAGTAATACTGCCATTAAGAAGAGGAAAAGAAATTTAAGTCTTCGGAAACGTACCTGATAGAAGACTTAAGATAATTCGAAGTAGCAGAGCAGAGACAGAGGGACTCTATGTACTCAAGTGATGAGGTGAAAAAAGGAACTGATGGTGGATTGTAAAAGGGTTGGATTGGGAGTTTGGAGAGAGAAAGATAAAGAGAGAGGGAGAAGAGCCGCAAGCGAGAACTAAATTTAAAGCATCAATAACTTCAATTTGTGCCGGTATCCAATCGGGCCGGATAATCTTCTATTACCGACCAACCCAAAGGAATATTTGGGGTGACGTCAAGGCGTTGAGGAATTTAGATGACCTGGTACCATAGTAGATACTTTAGAGGTTCTTATGGCTCTCTCCTGGAGTATGCGCAAGTGCCTGGCAGATTTACACTTCAAGGAGCCATCATGGACTTCAACATCTATTCTGCTTCCAGAATCCGTGCGATTCTTTTGTCAACGGTCTTTTCAAGACACCCAATCTACATCCCGCTGATCTGAGGTTGGGACCACGAACATCTACAAAACTCAAGATTAGAATGAAGCATGCGAAAGCCTCTGTTTCTGCTAGCTACCAGCTATCTAGTAGTATAATTAGCAGAACTTGAATTTCCCCTTTGGTATAAGAAAGCGTCACTCTAACTAATAGAACTAATCCACAGGCCGTAGGGAATACTAACTCTGCAGAAGTTCTCCGCGAGGGCCCAGCAAGATCTGCGGCAACCACAGCGGGCGCAACCCAAAATACACACTTCAACAATATCGCGTTAGCACATTCCTCGACTCTAACTTCTCCATTGATTGCCATGACTCCAACTCCATTGATGCAATTCTACGAAAGAGAGAAATTGCTGAATAAGTCATTGTCTGTAAGGTCTTCCAGCTTTCTTTAGTCGAGAAGCCATTCTGCCAAGAGGCTTAGAAGACGGTATAAGAATTCTAACTATACAATATTACACTTCCGCCAATCCCACGCTGTTCGCACAAGTAGTTGGGGCGGCACAGAAATGTCATCATACATTCATCGCAACAATACCGAGTATCTAGCTTTTCCAATCACATAAAGCAAAACAACAACAGACGGTTCGGCTACTACCCAGGTAGCTATGAAGCCTGCAACAGCTGCTGCTGAAATTCTATATCTGAACAATAGTATCTACAGAGTAAACACCAAAGTTATCATGCCGGCTGGTCCCCGAAACGCTGAGAAACCTAGCATGTAGTAATAAGTAATACTCGGATACTTGATCTCTTAGCTAGCCTCTCTTGGGCAGAGGCTTACACACAGCAATTAAGCAGCCAGTATGCAGCACGGAAGCATGCTAGTAGATGTTACCTCCCTACTGTAATCACCCTCTCAATGTTTATAACCCCAGTTCTGCGAGTCCCAATTTTGACTGTCGCCCTGTGCTAACTGGTAGAAGCTAAGAATTAAGGAGTAGTCATCAAGATCTTGTAAGCTTGTTGGGTTAGATGAAACGTGTCGACGCTTGCATAGTCATACTGTATTCACCGTGGCTTTAGACGGCACACACTGAAGGTGGTAAGGTGACGAGCAAAATAAGTTCAACATCACGCTCTCCATATAGAAACTATATTTGTGCCTACCAGCTTCTATTTGGTGAGGAAACGATCCAGCCATATTGCTTACCATCATCTTTGAGCTCACCCTGAGATTTTAGAAGCCAGATTGTTCACAGTGCATGTGCAAATGGAGTAAAATCACAGTTTAGATGCTCGAAAGCTGATTCGATCATTAGGGGGTTGATTGCATGAACGACAGCTTGAAAGTCTCGATTCCCAATTGATTCCATGTTTTAAGAGCATGAATACTGATCCCACGATTTACCACCATCCGAAGAAATAGCATATCGTCCCTCAGATTCCTTAGCATGTAAGAACTGACCACAAACTTCTCTCAAAAGATGCCATAGCCGCAGACGCCAAAAGCAACGATATTCCCCTAACGAATAATGCACCACCCCAACAACCAAATGAGAACGAGCATCTTCTATTCAACCAACAAAGGACTCTCCGAACCACCTTCGATCTCATAGCTTTGTCCAATAGACCGATACTGCTGCGCACCCATACCCATTCCATTGGATCCTGCAGCATGACTTCTAGATGCCATCATATTTTGACCACCATGACCATTCATACCAGTTCCGCTTCCCATCATACCGTGACTGCCCATCATTCCACCATATCCACCCGCGCTGAAACCATATCCATTCTGCGGCTGGCCATATGCATTCATAGCACCAGAGCTCGCACCAGTAGCGCTCATGCTGCCCGAACCCACACCCTCCGCATACCCCTCTCCATCACCAAACTCAAACCCACCCCCCTCCCCACTGACACTACCCGCCGCACTGCTCCCCCCACTATAAAAACCTACCAACTCCCTATTAACATCACACAATCCAGCTCCCAATCCCATCTGAATTCCCTCTCTCAACTGCGCGCTCGGAGAATCCTCTCGATACATCTCCTCCTTAATCGCATTTCTCGCATTTATCTCGCTCTTCACTTCTTTCTTGACTTTGTTTCTGTTGGAGCCCTGGCCAGAAGAAGAGTCCTCCTCATCATCTGCATTCTCATCTTCGTTGGAAAATTTGCGTTTCTTGCTGGAGGATTTGCCGCGGGGAGCGGAGGGGTTTGAGTTGGGGGGGAAGGAGGCGCCGGGGGCGGGCTTGATGGATGCGGCGTTGGGTGCGATGCTATGGGAGCGCATCATACGTTCGTAGCGTTTTGCGCTGGGAGATGAGAGGTTAGTTGGGAGTGCACTTTGAAGCGGGAAAGAGGATGGAGAAATGGGATAGGGGTGGATTGATGAGTGGAGAGAAGGGGAAAACTTACGCGGCGCCTTTGGTGACGATCTTGCATTCTTTAGCTACTTGACCGAAGTCTACCTGTGTGGTGTTAGTAGTCGTCTTTGAAAAGTCAAAGCAAGAGGATGCTGGGAAAGTGAATAGACAGCAAATTGCGGCAGAGGAGGAAAAATACCTTTCCATTGTTACTGTATCGGATACAGCTAATAAGGAACTTGAATTGTTCTTCGTTGGAAGCTGGAGCCATGATGAGCAAGCTGTTGTTGTATAGTGTATATTTTAGATGTATGGATGTATTGTTGAGGTCTCTCAACTCGATAGATGGACTATGGAAGACAATGTGATAAGTTAGTCTTCTGCAAAAGTGAACAGAGTGTTTGGTGTCTGAGCGGGAAGGAAGACGATTCTGGCGGCAGCGGAAAGAGAGATGGATAAGGTCTTCCGATCTCGCAAGACTGACAGTTGAAGATGAGGGAAATGGTGAGAGAATGTCTTTCTTTTTAATGTCTAGACTGTGGTAGAGCGGGTTCTACTCACTGACTTGTCTGTAATGGTCAAGTTGTAGATCTAGTGCAGGTTTTCGTTGTTGAGAATAATGTGGGTGAAAGAATTGGGGATGTGGTTGTGGGGAGTTGGGTTGTCAAAGATTGATTTTGTTGTTCGATTTCGGATTCGTAAAAAAAAGGTGGATTGTGATATCATAGTCCTCACAGTGAATCCGAAAGATTCTTTCTTTCCTGAGATGAGGGGTCTTTCACTTGAAGAAAGAGTATTTGTGTGTCACGGGTGATGATTAGACAATGGATTTTGGGTCATGGGAGATTGAATTGGAGAGCAAACTCTGGAGGTACTGTAGCTATGGTCATTGACTATGCACTCGTCCTTTATCCTGGCTTTCCCTATGATATCTATCCTCCCTAATGCAACCCTGAAAATCCATTATCTCCCTCACGGTACGATCCTAGCGAAAGAGAAACAACTTGCCGCGCTTAAACCAGAACCAATTTGCAAATCAATAAAGTAAGATTTATCTTCATCTTATCCACTCTTTCGACCGACAGTAGCGAGTAGAGTGGGAAAGGGAAAAGAGTTTTATTTACTCGGAATCCTCTGTCGAAGTGATTAGTATTAGCAAGTGTAGGAGCAAGCATGAATTAAGAAAACGCAATTAATGTGTCTGATAACGATGGCCTCAAGTCAAGACAATGCAAAAGTCCACAAGAAAAGCGAGCCTAGAAGAAATGTTGAAGACAGCTCAGCCCAGTCTATAGCCCTCATCAGGAATTCTGCAGAAACGTGTAGTTATTGAGAGCCTTCCAATGTCGATAAGCATCAACACTCATATCAGCCTGGGCAGCTAGAAGTTGTTCGTCGAGACCAACTTGCTCGTCAACAGGACTCTCTTCAATGAAAGTAGGAAATGTCTCTTCGGCTTCGACGACAGACATTTTAGCAACCTCATCTGAAATCTGAAGACTTTCAGGAGATCCAGTAGAGGGGCCAACAATGGCGTTCTTTCCAAGACTTTCGGCTTTGAGGGAAGGAATATGTTCTGGTGACTTGCCATCTTCGTCGTCCAATACTGGTTCTGCTAACTCGTCACCACTATCAACTTCTTCCTCCTTGACTTCATTCTTGACTGCGGCCTTCTTTCCTCTGGGCTTAGGAGTGGCTTTGATGGGACCGTTCTTTGGGCCAACCTTCTTCTTTGGAGAAGTTTTCTTGGTGGGAGAGGGAATCTTGGGAGGGGTAGCACCATCATCGTCCTCTGGAGATGGTCTGGCTTGATCCTAGTAAGTGTCAAGAGTGTAAGTATGCGTGGATAAAAGGTGGGTTATTGAGACATTATCATACCTTCAACTTCTCAAACAGTTTTTTGAAGCTTTGGCGAGCGTTTCTAGCAAATTTGAAATTGACTCGAGCGGCGACACGGTCAAAGTTGATCTATTTATTGTTAATGTAAGTATTTAGTTGATGTTGCATGAGACATAGTGCGATGTGAGTACATGGAAGTCAAGAAGACGATATCAGATGAGTGTCACTCTATGATGCTATCTGGCATCAGAAGCCAAGAGATTCACCTGACATGAAAAAAGGCACAAACTAGTACAACACCAGAAAGACTCAAGGTTCATTCCCAGAAATGGTGCAAGACGAGAGAAAAGAGGGCAAAAAGAACTTACATTGCTAGGAATTTCCCCCATCTCAGACATAACAGCTACAAGCATCTCCGTCTCCTTTGCGGACAAAGTTAAAGTTGCCATATTTGCGAATGCTGATTCTGTCTTCGAGTCAGCTTGAGTTTACTTGAGGTTGACCACTATCACTATCCACCACCCATAGAATCTTGAGATTCCAGATAAAGGAAAACTCACTTTGTACGAGGTGAAATGATTTCTTTTCGAAGTAATGCTTCTTTGCGACGATATCCTTGGATGCGCAAGCTAATTGCAGGAATCACGAGATAGTGGTTATTGTTGCGAGGTTGTGAAATTGCGTTTGGATGTGGTTTTGGTGGGTAGAGAAGAAGCGAAGCAGTTGAAAAGCAGCACAGCACAGCAAAACTGAACCGAGATATTATAGCAAAAATCAAACAAGCAGGCAGAAATAGAAGTAAAAGCGAATTTTCCAGCCATTTCTCACTTCACTCTGAAGCATACCCAGTAAAATCTTCCCGTTTCCCGAATCTTCCAGCCAGGCTTGAGCAAGAATTCTAGCTGCTTGACGGGAGGTTCTATCAAATATTTTGGAGTCACATTATGCATGGAATATGGATTTCCAGCTTGTAGATGCCAGAAAATGAGCATTGTAAAGAATGTGACACAAATCCTGCGGGGTTTCCGTTTGGCTGACATTGTTTGCACAGACCTCACATTGCTTTTTTCTCTACCGTAACATTGGGTATTTATCTGGTCAAGTATTGAATGGCAAAGAAAAAAGTAGTTGATAGTCAAGTAGACATTAAAAGAAGTAATGATTTTATAGAGATCCTAGATAGTGTTTTTCAGAACAACTTGAAGTTGCAATAACCAACACCTATCTACGGATCGTCCCTTTTCCCAAAGACGAGGAATAGACAATTACTAATATCCATGGCTGATAACAACCTTCCTCCCCGTAATTCCTCGTATTCATCATAAACCCGAATCGCCATGGACATAAAAGAAGAAGAAACTTGTCAGAACTTTATAGATCCAACGCTGAACAGAACCACCTTCCGGCACCCATAACGAGCTTGAGTAACATATATGCAACCTCGCTCGTACCAGCCACCAACGATAGCCCAGAATATTGATGACGAGAGATAGTCTACTCCTCATCGTCTTCCTTGGTTTCCTCCTTCACGTCCTCCATGTCCTCATCCTTGACATCGGAGAGCTCCTCGTCAGACTCCTCGAATTTCTTGACAGATTTCTTTGCTGGCGTCTTCTTGGCACGGGGCTTGGGAGCAGCCTTGGCTTTGGTAACGCGATTCTTGGAAGGGGTGGTTGGGACAGCAGGCTCGTTGGTGCCATTAGCATCCGATGCTTTCTTTGGTGAGACGTCGCCTTTGCCAGCCTTGCCACCAGCCACCTCATCAGCAGTGCGTGAAGAGGCACCAAAAGGAAGATCGAACTTCTTCTTGATGGAAGAGACCTTGTTCGAAACCTGAAGTGAAGGATTAGTTGAGTAAATGTTTGATGATCGAAAGTATGACTTGCCGAGCGCGGATTCTTGTAGTTCAAGAGTTGGGCGACTTTTTGAGTATCGACCTTCAGATGTTTTCCCTAATCAGCTATTGGGAACAGTATTTGAATTTGGAAAAGCGTATAAGTAAAAGTGTGATTTGAAAGTGAAGAGTACGCGAGGTGCGGTGCGCGCGACCATTATACATGTACACAGAGCCACCAAGTGAAGATGAGGTGATACGCGAAAATGAAATGCTTGTAATGATTTTGAAAGGAGAATTTATGATTGGAAGACAGATGAAGGTGTGATACATAGTTGTGATGATACAATGTGGAAGGGAAGTACAAACACCAGGATGAGAGATCGCAGCGCGACAAGATGACTTACCTGGATAGAACCACCGGTAGTATTGCGAAGACAGCACATAAGGAAATCAACATCAGCCTGGCTCATACCGCCATTGGCTTGAGGTTGAGAACTGGCAACATCATTGTCGGACATTTTGATTGCGGTTGATGAATTTTCTTTTGTAGAGGAATGAGATGCGACGAGATGATCTGTGTATACAAGACCAGTCAGCACGATGAAAATGTCGCAGAAAGATTAAAGCAATGATACGTACATGATGAACTTGCAAAGTAATGCAAGAGATTGATGTATTAATCGTCGAAGTTACTAAAGGGTATGAGAATTTGAGTATGCAAGTTGATCAAGACTGAGGAAAATGTTGTGTAAGTGAGATGGAGAATCTGGGTTGAAAGTGCGACGAGGATGTTCTTATATGTCTCCATGGGAACGGTGCTCATTGAAAAATTCCCTCATATTTCTCTCGCCTAATTGGATGAAGTGGGAACCATCTTTCACTATTCACTCAATATCATGTTCATTCTGGGAGGTTGGTCATTCTCACATGTTTTTTTCCTATTTGCATCAACTCATGCTCATAGAATGAATGAATCCAGCAGAATGTTTTGCTGTCAGCATCCGTTGATATGGTTCATGAGCGGGGTAATGTCTTTGCATGAATGAATATATTGTTCCCGAAAATCTCGAATTCTTTCCTTAAGCTACTCGAGACTACTAGCCCTACCGAGTAATTACCATACATGTTAGATCTTGATTTAATAAGTCAGATCAAGAGCCGGCATCAATATGCGAGAAGCTTGACGCCTAAGAAGGACTGTATCAAGTTGAATAGAGCTCAACGACGTCTGATTATGAGAACATGTACTAGCTAGCTATAAACAAATTCGAAGACTTTGGACTCGATTTTTCTGTTATTTTCGGGATGGTGTACGTGAACGTAAAGTGAATGTACGTCTGTCACCATGAACTCTCCAAACGTCATCATGATTCCTCCGAGAAACGATTCCCGGAGAATATGCAGTGTCTTCTGAAAGAATTATCAGTTCCGAGGAGATAATGCACGTATCCATGATATGATACACTGCATCATCCCCAGAACGGCCTTCTAGGGAAAGATCAATCGGCTCTAGAGACAAGGTGTATGGAGCTTCAGACGGGATCACCGCGGCAAATGGAAAAAGAAACCATAAGCAGGGCTTGTGGCTCCCCGGTTTTGTGAGCAGAAACTGTGAAAAAGACGTAGATATTGGATGTACTAGTACTAAATTGCTTCCAATTCCCCTCAACATGTTTACCAAAAGACCTTGAGGGGTAATAACTGCGGACAAATCATTTTTGATCACCTCAATGTGAAATGTCCCTCTATGAAGTGCAAATTCACCATTATATAGCATGAGCCAAATGCACATGGAACGTTGAAGCCAGATTATAAATCTACTAATACTCTTATCTATTACGCATTTTTACATCTCTATCCTGATTTCACCGAGTGAACGCTCGTAAAAACTCTTGGAATGCGATTCAAAATATCGCCGTCGGGCAAATGAAAGCATTCCCGCTCAACTTCATATGATATCTTATTCCACTGTTACCATGCAAATTTACGCATCTACCATTCTCATGTAAGATCGTCTGCCGATGTGTCCCCGAGTTACGAAATGAATGTTCACCTGCCAAGGATGGTTAGTTCGCTCCGCAAAAAACAAGCAACACACATCACTTACAAGATTCAGATGTAGATAGATCTTACGTGAAGTTGTGCGACAGTCCATCTAAAACCACGGGGGCTGCCTCCTTGATTTCATCGTCAGAGCCTTGATCGCTGACAGTAAGGGTGTTCGTTTCTTTGTCAAATCCATGATAAGTACTCAGGTCGAATTCCTCTTTATTCTGAAACTCATTCTCGGAGTCGTAGTCATGGCGCTGATTAGCAGTAATGATCAAGTTTGCTGCGGTATCATCGTTCCTGTTAAGAATGTATCCTTGGCCACGATTTTGTTTGAACTTTGAGGGCTTCTTGGGGTCAATATTTTGGAGATTGCCGACTCTGACCGCTTTTCGTCTGACGAGTCTGTCATAAACCGGGTCGTTCAAGATCTCTTTCTCGGATTCGGGTACAGGAGGATAGGCATATATTTCGGGAGGAGGCATTCCAGTAATCTTAGGGACGAGCGGTTGTGCATCTACCTCGTAATATTTTCGGAGTCTGGCCCTAATCTGTCCAAAGCGAGAACGAGCCATGTAAGCATTGGAGCATCCAGCGCGCTCAGCAACACGATTCCAATCTATCTGTATAAAGAACGAAGATGTTAGTAAATTAAATCACATGATCGCTTATTAAAGGGACAATGTCTGTGATACAAAGTCAAAGAATATGGAAGAATGAACAAGATAGAATATATCATAGACTTTTGAGTTAGAGGTATAAAAAGAAAGGAAGCTCACATCTGGTGCAGTTTCGATACTATCAAGAATTATGAAAAAGAACTTGGCATCTTTCGCGGTTGGTTCGCGGGGATCAAAGTTCTTAGCTCTAAGGTATGTTAGTAGAATAGGGATGGAAATGAAGTATACTGACATCTCTATTTGGTCCTTGGTCATTGGAGGGATATCGACTGTCTTCTCCTTTTCTTTTCCTTTTTTGTCATCTTCCGCCTCGTCATCAGCTTCCTCACCTTCCTCATCATCGCCTTCCTCCCTCTCCTCATCCTCCTCATCCTCCTCATATTCTTCATCTTCTTCATCATCTTCTTCATCATCTTCATCTTCCTCACTTCCCTCATCGCTCCCATCTTCCTCGTCTTCTTCGGATTTCTCGGATTCCTCATCTTCCGTCTCCTCTACCTCCTCTACCTCCACAACTTTTTCGGGCTCCTTGCGTTTTCTAGGCTACACAAGTCAATCAGCATGAGCCAAGTTTCCATCGAAAATTGTATCATTTTTACCATCTCGAAGTCGTGAAAGATTTTGTATGTGAAATTGTTGTAATGATTATATGGTTAAGCCTTGTATCCGATCAGTTTTTTTGGAGGGAGATTTCGCAAGTCTCTGATAAGGTAGGAAATGCAAAAAAGACTATGCGTTTCGGTTAGTTCATTTTAAGGTCTTGAATAAGCTAGTACAGTTTTCCCAATGAGCATGGGCAGATTTGCCGAAAGTGAATAGGAACAACGAGAATGCGGGACAAACCGGCGAAAACCCTTTGTCTTATGAAACCCAACACTAGATATCTCAGCAGAGAACAAAGTCCCCCAGAAATCATCTTATACTTCCAGAACATACTTGTTGTTTCCAGCACTTTTCAAACAAAACTTTCGGGAAGGAATTTGAAGGGAGTCGAAATCGCGCGAAATTCACTGACGCATTGTTTGCCGCGATTTTATTGGTCGAGCAATCATTCTACGTGAAAAACGTTTAGAAGGATTGCGAGTTTGCGATTTCTTACTACTCTGGCGAGTGAAATTAGGTGCACTTATTCTGCGAGGAGAAGCTCACATATACCCCTATTGTGTAGGATAATGGTGCCGGGAGAAGTCCGTATTTCTGCATGTCTCCCGTTATTTGTGTTTTTTGAGAAGATAAGAAATGTCCACGTTGGGGAAAAGAGCCCATTCAAGTCAATGATGGCCAATAAGTGAAGAATGCCTTTGTCTAGTTGCAATCCAAAGTGACAGAAGATATCCTTCCTACCATCATTTGAGCCCCTGAAGATATTGTTACCCGAAGATAACGGTAATGGTGTTCCGTCGAGCCTTCAACCTTACCAACAACTTTCTTTTGTTTGCATATCCAATGTAACGTGAGTGATATCTCGCAGTAGATATCGAATTATAGCAGGAATAAATGCACCATGTCCACAGTGTCCAAATATCTGGACTTGCCAACTAGATGGCAGTTTTTGCTATCCAGAGGGAGTTGAATTTTCGAAATGCGTTCAACACTTCATAGCAATTGCAGATATCTAACTGGATTCAGATACAAAACCCCTTACTATTACTCTCTAGTCTGTAATATTGAAAACCCTAACGATATCGCCTCTCATTTTTGAGATGTCGTCAATTAGTGTTTCCCAAGCCCCAATTATTGTCGGCATTTGAAAATCTCACATGGCGATCTAGCCGCCCATAAATTCATGGTTGCACTAACCTCACAAAAAGAAATGTCCGCAGGGCCAAGAACGCTTTTGAAATCTAAGATGTTAGCAATTGATGCGCCGATCCAAAAACTCCGAAGCTGATGTGATACGTTCTCTATAGCGCTCTTGCATATTACCTCGCTCATACCACCACACGTCTTCAAAATTCACCGAACACAAACAGCATTGTTTCCAGGTGCTCATATTTGCGTTTATGATTGCAGATGCAAAGTTCCTTGGAGCGCAGGGTTTCTCGGAAAGCTGCATTTGTTGACTTGTTTCCCCCCTACACATATTTGCTTTGTCCAGGTGTATCCGCTTCCCCGTATTACATAATTTTGGAATCCGCTCCTCGATCTATTCTGAATTGATAGTAGACAACGCCATTTTCTGCAAGAAACCCTTTTCTTGGCAAGTTTCGAGAGGGGAGGAAAGATTTCTCCAATGAACCTAGAGTATCACTTTGGAGCCCGAGACATCAGGATGATGAGGCTCCCACAGTGACGAGCGTTTGCAAGTGCATCGTAGACCGATTGAAATCGGAAACACTGGAACGAATAGATGGATATCTACTCGGTGGCTACCACAGATTATCTGTCTAGGTAGACACATTTTGAGATATCTTTATCCCTCGTTCTACCATCTCTACTATCGCTCGTAATCTTTCTACCTGTTAAAATAGTCGCCGCTCGTCTGCTTGAATACCTATAACCTCACTGCGAATCAAATCTTCTGAATACAACATCAATCTTGCATCGTCACGGAAATCATGAGCTCTTGTGTTCACGAGTAAGTACATGTATAAATGCTTGGTGTCTCTGACCCGCCTTGTCCCACTATCTTTGATGAATTTTCTACTTCTCATTTTTTCAACATCTTAGTTTCGTTATCTATTTCTCAATGTTCCAGCATACCTGATTCGTTCTTTGCTTCTTTTTCCCTAACCCGTTCTCAATACTCTGTGTCATGTATCACAGTCTTTTGATGCTCACTCACTTCCCACTAAGTCTGACACAATCACCAGACATGCATCTTCAGGAATCGTCACCGTAATCGTAAGTCCAGAGGGCCGACCATTCTTCTTCCACGAAACTCTTCTCTGCCAAAAATCTCCCTGGTTCCGATCCCACCTCGAGAGCCAAGTGACCGAAGATCATGACTATGACTCCGCTGTTGAACTCTCACCCATCGAATCATCATTCCAAGACTTTCAACAAACCCAACGAAAGGTAATCTACCGCTATGAAGATGACATCCATACCTTCAACCAATTCTTCAGTTGGGTCTACGGATCCACATACCCGCTACCTCGACGTGATCCAGAAAACTACTCTAGCTCGACACATATCTCAGAATGGGTTATCCTCCACCAACTAGCAATTGAGATGGGAGTTATGGACTTGGCGCACAAAGCTTTATCCGAGTATGTTCTTTGTAGAGATACCTCACGAACAGGATATTGGATGCCCCTTCCGGCGGAAATCCAATTTATATATCAAAATCAAGCAACGACATACGATCTACGCAGTCTTACCGTGTTAAAAATGCGGTGTCTTTATTTTTCAACCGGGTTCGAAGGATTACAAAGAGAACTATCTGATATTTGCGGTTGTCATCCTGGTTTTCACACCGATGTTTTTGCAGAGCTACAGAGACATTCGGAACAAGTGACGCGGTGCAACTATGAGGACTGCTCTATTCACAATCCACACAATACGACTTCTGGTAGCCTGTACATCCCAACCAGCAACCAAATCCAAAACTCAAATTCTCCCTTGGAAGTCGAGTCACCTCCTCTCCCTTCTTCCGAATACTTAGACGATATCTCCACTCTTGATCTAGATAGCTCACCACCTAACCTATCCGATTGCGGTACGATATCCACAGAACAAGAGGACGCGAACTCCGAGCAAGCGCGAATCGAAGCAATGGTTGAATATCATGAGAGTAGGGATAAGATGATGACTTTCGATGGGGGGGAAGAAGGTCGATTTTGAATTAGCGAGATGATTGGGTGTGGAGAATCTTAATCTTATATTGGTATTTCTGTCTAGATGATGATGATGATGATGATGATGATAATGGGAGTTGGTGGGTGGTTTATTCATATTTGGGGCTAGGTTTAGGACGGGACCTGCAGTGGAGCTCTGGAAGTGGAGGCGGCGATTGTGGATACAACCAAATGGGGTCGATTTTTAATGTAACAGGATGGAGTGTCAGATAACGGCGCTACTTGAGGACGGAGGATGTGACTCGCAAACTTGCTGAAACATTCTTAACAGTAAAGTGAAAAGTATTTCTAGTGTTATAAAAAATTTAAGCTACATAGAATCCGACCGCTTGAGCAAATTTGTGACCGGATGCAAGGATTGCTAGAGTGTTTATCTAAAAAAGAATAAGCTCATTGTATTGACCCCAACTTCAAACCAGACGTGGAGGCGACTCATGAATTGAAAACTATTGACAAACCGCCGGAAGCTGAACATGAGCCAAAGCAAGCACACCCCCGTAGTCCCTCATGTCACATGAAGTACAAACACACAGACGTCACATAGCCTAAAGAACCCAAAGCCCCAACCTCCTCCCACCATCTTCCTCGCTTATCCTCAATCACCCCCAGCTTCTCTCCTCCTTTCCATTCTCTCCTTCTCCCCCTCCCCAACCCTCATCCAAACAGCATCCTGAAACTCTCTCAGCACACTCGAACTACTCAACCAGCTCTCCACATAATTCTTAGTATCTCCCGTATGGTTCTCCCCCACCACATCCCACAATCTGCCCATCTTAGCCATCACATCCACCAAAACCTCTCTAACCTCCGAGCCCTCCCTCGTCATCCCATAAACCTCCACCACCTCCTCCCTCGTCGGAATCCCCGGACAGTACTTCCTCTCCCCCAAACATTTCTCAACCCTAGCCAGCGCACTCTCACACGCCGCCTCCATCTCAAAATACGCAGCATATTTATACACTTTACACCAGGCCACCAGACAGCCCGTATGTCTCTCAATGTCAGAAGTCGGACACCCAAGTTCATTTTCATACATATATCCCACCAGATGGGCAATCGCATCGACGGTATAAAAGTGTTCCGGATCGGGATCAGTATCATCGCCATCTTTATCGTCGACTTTAAATGAGATTGCTCGCGCGGTCGGATTCGCATTCCATGCTTCGGCGAAGAGTTTGGAGGCGTTGATGGCGATATCTTTGGAGATTTCGAAGACGTGCGAGCGCACTTTGATGTAGAGACTCATAGATTTTGCATTGTTCGGATCCTTTTTAGCTTTCTTGAAGGTGTGGCGGGCTTGTGCCGTGGTTTCGACTTTGGACTGTGAATTAGAAGGCATTGTTGACATTTGAATTTTCTATTCGCGGGGAGTTGCTTTTCTTGTCATGCAGGATTCGGGTGATCTGGAACAAGAAAATTGTTAGTGAGGATTTCCGATGAGAGTCTTGGTTTGGTAAAAGAGTGAGATTTGCTGTACTGACCACGGGAAGTAATGTAGTGATTGAAGATGAGAGGAAATATTTGTCTTTGGTGGCAGCTTGTTGTACTACTTGCACTGACTTGCGCATTGAAATTTAGAGCCTGCGAGGAAAGTTATCGTGCCGGGATTTTGACGGAACGGGGTTGTATGGCACAAGATCTCTTTACTAGGTTGAATCATATGATGATATAGTAATGTAGCTGAAATGTTGTGTAAATATCAGACAATGAGCTCTTAATACGTGGGAAAGGGGGACCACAGGAGCTCTAGAATAACGTGTGAAAAGTGCTCCCGATTGTTATCAATGATTGAGCCTTGTGGAGAGTTATTTGTATTCTTGCAAGTATATTTAAATGAAGATAGAGAAATCTACATCTTTCGATACCCTCTAGCTCTACAGTATGAAGCAAATGAAGCAAATGAATACGTTGGAAGTTGGCACTGCGACCACAAACATTCGTGCAAGGCTGCGCATATCTCTGATCTCCCGTCTGATATATATTGTCTCGATCAATCCCGAATCCATAGTCTTACTCTGGATCGCACAGGTTGCATCTCATCATCGCAGATCCCATGACCAGATTGAAGACATCAAGTACTTCCATCTTATCATCTCCTGGATGAGAGCAATCCATGAACGGAACTGCACATGATTTGTGTACTTTGTATGCCTGACCAGTCTGCATAGTAAACATAGATGGTTAGCTAGATATCTCGTTCAATACGGAAGACTAGCTGAGACTCACAGGGTGTACATGAAAGTGGCAGGGGCAGAGTTTAGATCTATGAAGCATGCTAAAACTCTCATTCGAGTTCCATGGTTCCGCCACTTTATTTGAGCGTCGACCCATCAGATGGAAATTTCTGGAAACTCATCTAAGCATGCCTTGGAAGTATCCAGGAAGAAGAATGCAATTCATCATCACTTCTTGCCGAAGTTTAGTGCAACCACGATCTAGATTGGTACAATATTAGTAGTTGTGCAGATTGATGTGATCTAACAGAATGAGAAAAAATTCTGAAAACAAGCAGTACAAGTTAGGAAAGTAAATTGTGCTTACCCATATGCATAACTGTGCTTGCAATACAAAATTCTCGCAGGGTAGAATCTAACTTTGTCTCTTGCCAAATTTGAACAGCAAGACCAGGTCCGAAGACAGTACCAAACTCAAGATAGCCATCTTGAATGGCATCGATGGTTCGGTTCATCAAGTTATGAATTTCCCATTTTTCGGCAAGTGAGTACAAACTGACCAAAGTTTTAAGGCTCCCATTGAACTCTGCGAGTAGCTCTAACTCGAGACGGTTGAATTCTGTCTGAGATAGTTTGCTTTTGATGTATATCTTGGTTCGAGGTTTTTGAACGGTTCCTTTTTGTGAAGATGTTTGTAAGTGATGTGCGCATTGAATGATTTTCAAACATTGTGCTTGCGATAGGAATAGAATATACCGTTGTAAGCCCAATCAACAAAAAGTTTGAAGACGTTGGGATTCTCATCATTGAAGAAGACCAATCCTTGCTGTCCAGCCACGGTGTAAAATAGTTTGTTGGACTCAAAGTAAGTAGTACACTGTTGAAGTATAGTTTTGTGAACAGTAAAGGTTTGACGCTGTCAGTTGATCAGAAACGATAATATACTGAGAGATGAAACAGGGATATATACCGAGTCACCAACGCCAACATTGACAGACATAGTCTCATTTTCTAAGTTTCTGCGTATATCAACTCCTATCCAAGCATTTTCACGCGGAAGCAATTGGTTACAGAGATAACCACTTACTTGAGAAACTTGTTAGGCTTAAGACTATGGCAAGACATGTTGAATTGGGCGATGAAAACAGTGAAGTTGTAGATCTTATGCGGATATCGTGAAATGTGCTCTTAAGTTCTGCAAAGAACGGAACTCGAAATTTAAAGTTATGTTTCGAAGAAAGCCTGGGATACACTCCGTGTCTTACTCAATTTGCAGTCAGGGTCTATGTTGTGCGATTCAATAAGGAATTCTGACGACATATAGAAGATTACATGAAGAGAAAGAAAAGATTACATGAAGAGAAAGAAAAAAGGAATAGAGAGAAAAGAGTGTAGTTTACTTCCACTGAAGATACGAATTGGGAGTGAAAGCAAACGAAAGTGTAAGTGTTTGAAGAAACGCAAAATGTTGTCACGTGTATTAGGCAGCATTCAAGACTTGAAGCATAAACGAGAACAGACGACACAACAATGTGATTTGGGGAAAGAGCGATTCAGTACTTTAGATTTTCTTCGCTCTTGAACTGCTGAGTATTTACTAGGCACTTATTGTGTTCAAATGTCTGCTCTACTCACTCATGAATTGTTTCTGGGAAGGTATACATCCCCTGGACACATTGCACTTTCTTGGAGAAGGAGAAAGAATGCGATCCGAGAGTGTCTGCACTATCGCCATGAATAAGGGACCACATACACGGCTAATGTAAATGGCAGACTAAAGTCATTACTTCTTACATTTCTCTTTTTTTTGTTTCAAAACCAGCAATGAAAATAGCCCAAGTCGAAAGCCTCCCGAAACGGCTTTCGGTTCATGGTATCAAACGGACAAACCGGCTGCTTACATCGGCTATGTGCATCGGCTGCTCTTGAACGCATATCAGGAAAGAGTATATGACTAGTCTTGAATGTATGTGCCAGTAAGAAAGGAAATTTTCCCAAGTTGCTGAAATAAGAGAATGTGTAGGAAGTTACCTGCCAGGTCGGTAGATAATCCCGCTTAAACGTCCGTATTCGTCAACACTACATCCCGAAGCGCATCCGAAGCGCATCCGAAGCACAACAAGAAGAAGCATCGGTGTTTCGGAATGTTAGCCAGTCTTCAGTCAATTGAGAGTTGGATAAAGTTTCGTTTTGGGTACGATCAGGGTATGTACAAAGTGAACCTGCCATTGTCAGTCTACGCTAAAATCACGCTAGTTACCTTATAGCCAACCCCCTCACCGCCCAAACCCGTTCTCAAGATCCAGATAGTCACCGCGTTTACAGTGCTGAACTTCAATATTTATAGTCTATATTCTGTTTTGTAGACCAGAAAGTATGGAACTCCTGCCTCAATACGATTCAACCGTTGTGGGGAAGCTCCTTAGTGCTTGAAAGAGGCATAAATCATTCACATCTATGCTGATAACAGTCGGGCTTCAATATAAGCCAACCATTCAGTTGATTCTTTTCGCCAGATCTCCATTTGATATAGTGGAATTGAAAGAGTGGATTCTATTGGCCCCCCGACACCGATATCGCTAAGCGTATCTACTATCTAGCGCCGGAGTTGCAGAGCGAACCCATCTCTAGTCTATCAAATATTAACCTTGAACCTTGAATTCAAATGTTAACAATAATCAAAGAGACCAGAGTACCACCATTACCTTCCCGTACAATACCACAAACATACAAGAACCCAGGCATCAAGATGAAAAAATCCCAATCCCCAGAGCACCATCGAGCTCGGGCATTTGATCCTTGCCTCTCCGACGGCACTCTAGTGACTCCCAAAGATGTCCAATACGATAAATACAGTGGCATGTCCTACCTTGAATACCCTGAAGCCGATTTTTTGCATCTCGGATCCAGAGTTTACTCTCCAAGAGCATTAGTGGTGGCAGTTGATGGTGCTTGTCCTGGCAATGGAATCATACTGGCTGAAGAATCCTCCTTTGGTGTGTTTTTTGGTACAGACTCTCCTCTTAATACTTATGACACTATTCCTCGACCGTCTGGAGAAAAACATACGAACATTCACTCAGAGTTAATGGCCATGCTTCATGCACTCGAGCTCCTTGGACATCATAGCGTATTACGACAATGGATCTCCGAACACCCCCTGTTAATCCGCCATTCGATCAGACTGGACGTAATCATCATTACGGATTCCAAGTTCGTACATGACTGTCTTACCTTGTGGATTCCAATCTGGCTGAAGAAAGGATTCAGAACAGCAGAGAAAAAAACGGTGGGAAATAAAGATCTCGTTTTACGCATCCATCACATGATCGAGCTACTTTCAGATGATCTCGATATCCAAATCTGGCACGTTAGGAGACAGCATAATCGAGATGCGGATGAACTAGCTGCTCGACCATATCATACGCGACCTGCATACCAGTCACAATATATTGTCTCATCAAGCCTGCGACACTTCAGATCTGGGATTACCCACCGTGCTCCTCGAATAATGCATTTGGCGCATAAGATGGAGGTTTTTCTTCATAAGAACTGTATACGGATGCATTTGGGAGAGGTAATCATGTACATGGTAATGGCTGGAAACGACTGTGGAGCAAACTTCAGAATTCTCTTTGGACCCGAATACAGGAGTGATACTTCGTACATTATGTATCGAAAACTCAGTCGTGCAGTACTTTATCTTTCTCTAGATGAGCCTGGCCACTGTTCATATCCCGATAGTGTCATCTGGAGAGCTAGAAGTACGAACAGGTATAAAGTTTCAGGCAAACATCCTCGACCGATTGACGAATACGAGGCGAAAAAACTACAAAAATGGTGTATTGACAACCGATTGTTCTCGGATGGGAAACGTCTCACTTCGCTGTTGGAACTTATATACAGGACTGGATTAAAATTCGGTCTTGATCAGCGGATGTAATGTGAGTTTCGGAAGTCCTATTTTCTACCGCACATTCTTCCCATGACTTCGATCTTATCATGGGAGGATTTTTGAGGGACCGTTCCATATATTGGATGGAGTCTCATCAGCTCAATGGTTCCATCTGGTATCTAGATTGCCAGATATTTTTTTCTTCAACAGAACTCCACATTTATCTGCTTTCTTGCTACGAGACATTTTGTCATGAATCTCAACTGTTCGAAGTATTTTTTCTTGCTAGGACACCAGTGATGCATATTTCCAGGAGATCAAAACTGTACTGCCATACCATCTCCTAAATGTTCGTCCCCTTCTTCGACAACGATACTATTATTACCCTTCTGAGTGCTCTTTCCCTACTTGAACACTGATACCATCAGTACCCTCCCTACACCAACTCTCTATTTGCGATACAATCCCACAGTATCCAGCCTACACAATTCATCCAGTAAGCGCAGACCGCAGTTCTCCCTACAAGAGAAAAAAGGAAGAGAGGAGAAATGCACTCAAACTCCAATCTCCTCAAGCAGTGAGATAATTGCACATACGACCCTAACTTTTTACATCCCTCAAGCAATAGTGTTCCGACAGGCATATCCATACCCTAACAATATTTTCAAGCTTTCGAGAAAACCATGGCGCTCGAGGTTTTTGTCAAAAGTCTTCGTATGGTAGAAGGATCCATGTTATCAGCCAGATGATATGGTTATATAGCGTATATGCTGTATTAATCTCAGCAAATCACAATTCATCTCCTCATCCTCTTCTTATCCTACTGAACCATGACAATTCCAACGACCCAAGATATTCCAAGACACACAGTCCGTCTTCTTATATCTTACACCAGTGTTCTTACTAGTATTGCTCGTATTTCGTATATTGGTCCGTATAGTGGTGCATATTGATCTTTTCTAAAATATTCATATAAATGATATCGATTCATGTATCTTTCTAGTAATATTCGACATACAGGATATCGATAAAAGTAATATAATCCCTTTTCATATATACAAAATATTATATTAAGGATTTAATACGCGCCACCGTTATACTACTGTATATTGATATAAACACTGTCTCACACTCCCCCTCAATTTCCCTTTTCATCCCCTCACATCCCATCTCATCCCCATCTCTCCACCCCTCTCTTTCCAAAAACCCTCCTACCCATAACCCCAAACCATCACCTCCCGTCCCCAACCTACACAATATCCCCTCTCCTTTCCCTTTTCTCATTTTCCCCTCCAAAGTACCCTGCGGTTACTAAATTGATATACATCTATATCACATATACGTACCCAGTTTTTCAATCTTTTAATTTCAATTCTTCCAATATACACCAAACAAATACAAATACAAATACAATATATCAATTAAACCTTTCTTTCCCCTATTGAAATTTCCATGCAAACGAACATAGGAAATGAGGAAATAGAATGAAACTGAAAGCGAGGGGGGGGGGGGAGAAGAAGAGTAGGTGTGTTTCTAGAATGTGATAATCATGAGTTCCTATTGTCACCAAACACCCTCGCCGTTTCCATGTCCAATTTCCAATTCCCAAGAACCAGGAATCGACAAGCAAACATAGCATATGCAAACAAAGTACAATAGTCCGGACATACCATGTTCACCCGAGAGGAGTGTGCATGCATGGATCTGACAAATCTACCCACCCACCTTCCCGCCCCTCAAAACACTTCAAGCCAACGTATTCCCATTCCAATCTCATCATGATCGGAGATGTATATCGCATAATGCACATGTGATTTCGCTCCCTTACACATACCAGGTACCTACTTACGTGTAAACAGAAATCCAGAAACAGAAATCCAGAAGAGGAAGAGCTCAATCTTGATAACCACCCATTTATGACTATATTTTTATTCGCTTCTGAGTATTATTAGTCTTATCCTCAGATTTTCTCACTCTTATACATATACTCTCTCACACCTTCGCTCCCTCCCTTTCACTTCCCTCCCCCTCTCTGTTATTTCAAAGCCCTTATACCCTTACACGCTTATACACTCATCCTCTCATCCTCTCATCCTCATCCTCTCACCATCCATACTCTCACCATCCATACTCTCACCCTCTCATTCTCTCATTATCCATACTCTCTCATCCCTTATTCCTCCATCCTTCCCCCCCTCCCCTAACATCTCAAAACCCTTATATCCTCATACCCGTACATCCACCATCCACCATCCACCATCCACCATCCCCTCCCCCAAAAACAAAAACTAAAATAGGAGTACAAAACCACCCTTCCAATTATCTTCCTCGAATCAGATTCATATATTCATTCTTATACACTTATCCCCTCACCCTCATCCTCACCCTCATCCCTTAACAACCTTAACATCAAATCCGAAATCTCACCACATAAACCAACCCACTACATGATTAGACGACTTCGATAACTTTGACAAATTAGATGGATTTGAGCCCGTGTACTATGCAGAAAAGACGTTCTCCTTATGCCTCACAAACACACACACACACACACACACGCACACATCCCGCCCAAACCTCAACACGATGATCTTCTTACTTGCTCCAAACCATATACCAAGTCACAAGATGTGCGGTATTCGAATCCCTCCCACCAGAACATGCATCATGAAATAACAGTCATACGTGTGAGTCTAAAAAAAGTATAAGAAAGTATAAAAAAATATCACACCCGTTGTCCTTTTTAATAAGTACACAACACATCCAGATATACTTATTTCCTTAAAACACCCCTGTAGCGGATACGCCAAAGTCATGGTGCCCATAGATGAGAATGTTTTTCTGATTAATATTATCTAGCCCATGTTCCCAACCATCTATGTTAAACTCCATTAAATATTATTCCCCATCGCACGCATTTCCACCTTTTAGGGTATCCGATGCTACGACTGCGGCCCGACGATCGTAGCTATCGCTTGGTGAATATGACCAGAAGATTCGAGTGATCGAAGTGATTCATCACATCCCAGATCCTTTAATGTCTTCGAAGATGAGAGCTCTTGATCATCAAACTGCAGGCAACATTGGAAACCGGCTTCATTAATATGGAATACCCAACCCATTTAGACTTCTCACCAGAGACTTTTCCCAGACCCGGTACCATCAGAAGGAAGTCCATACGACTCAATTCTTCCTCGAAAGCAGACATTCGTCAACTGGTTGTTTAAATTCTTTCTTTTCTTCACCACAATACCACCCCTCATCAACCAGTTCCTGTTCTTTCTTCTTCCACGAAGAATATTTACTGGCCGATTTATAGTCAAGATCTCCCAAACGAGCTTCTATGACCTGTACATTCTTATCCATACGGATGTATAAAGAACAATCTCTAAGAGTCATCGCCACGCAAAGTTCATGAGATGCCTTTTCCGACTTCAAAGATCCTTTACGATCATACTCCGTTTGGAGATCGCAAAGTCGTTTTAGTAAAGGGTTTTCGTGGATCCATTTTGCAAGTGATTGGACGGCAGGTGATTCACGAGTTTTGTGTAATATATGTGAAGCGGATGCCTCATAGTTGGCGAACTTTAACTGGGGGTCATCGTCGGTAAGTTTGAGTGGACAGAGATATGATTGAAGGTCAGTATTTTTTCTTTCTTCTCCAAAAGCGACCCGACGTGCGTGAAGTGCACACGTACGACATCGTATGGCTTTAGGTGGCATTTCATGGGATGGAGAGAGCCATTTTGGTTTGAATTCTACGACGGTTTCTTGTAATGATTTTCCTGAAAATTTGTTAAAACACGCAGCGAAAAAAAGAGAAAACTAAACCTACTAGGGGTCATATCTGTTACCAAAAGACCATAATCGTCTTTCGCTAAGAATGTACCGCTTTGTGCTCTTGAGCGATAGAACTTCCCTTTTGGTGGTGGAGCAAGATGATTCGAGGTAGATGTACCACCGGGATTATCAAAACGTCTGAGATCGGTATTCAATCCAGGGATCACATTGAGATGACCAATGTAGACCAATTCTTGAGCAACTAATTGTTCTGGTTTGAACAGGGGTAAGATATATCCGAGCCATTGCTGATGTGAATCTGAAGTTGGGGCTGTCGTGGGAACATCTTTCCGAAGACGTAATAATTTTCCTGGAAACCATTTAGTACTATGGTAATATCATAGCAACAAAGTATGAAGGTGTATTGTTCCATATCATTTGTAGCAAAGGAAGCGTAGAAAGAATTACCAGAGAGATATTCTAATTCTTGATAACCCTGGTCCACTTCGGCAATGTCTCGTGATCCTGGATCAACCGTGATTTGATATATAACATTTGCAGCCCCTTCTGCAAGAACTTTGATACTGATCTGGCTGTTGGGGAGACGATAAGGTTGAATTGATAAATTACTCATTATATCTGGATTTATATCAAATGAATTTGAATGGAAAATTGGGGAAAAGATGACTGAGAAATGACTGAGAAATGAGTGGAACAATTGAAGAATAGAAACCGGATTGGGTCTTATGAAATAACTGGAACGAGTGAAACTTAGTAATAAGTAATGCGTCATATCGGGGTTCTTCCGTTCGCCGTAATCAAAATTTAGCTTAAGCGCAAATGACGCTTGGACTTTTAGTGGTGGAGGAAAAGACAAGCTGAGTCAAGAAGTTGGGATGAAGTGGTAGGTATGAACGGATTGGAGAAGAGATAATAGTCTACAGGGGAATGAAATGTGATGGGAATTCTGGCTAAAAGATTCAAATGGAGATGAAGATGGAGAGGGAGATGGAGATGGAGAGGGAGATGGAATCAAACCATGGTGAGAACATTTAGAGATACAATAATAATATTACATAGCAGTGGTAATATAAAATGTTGTAGATATTGGATCGAATTATAGTGAACATTTGCTTCTGGAGACAACATGGTAAGAAGGCCAGTAGCATGAAATCGAGCCATAGATCAAATCTAATCTCGACTAGACTAGAGACCAAGGAAAAGAAGTGAGATTGAGTGAGATGGTTGGCTATGAAGATGCTGAAAAG